GAACCAGAAAATCTCTTAACTTCCTAGCGATACGTTTGAACGGCGGACTGGTGCCAGACTGAATGTTCTGGCTTTAAAAAAAATACATTGTATGACGTCGAACGTTACAAACAAAGGGTTTTAGAATTTTGAGAAAATAGTGTTTTCTCTATGGTGTTTCGGCGTTTTGGTTTCCTGTTATTTGTGCAGAGCCAAAGTTCTATCAGAAGTTATTGACAAAACATGTAGGTCCACAATACTTTGCCGACCACCAGGTTTTTTTGTTCACACCCATAATAACTGCAAATTCAAAACATTGTTACAGTGTGGCTCTTCTCCTTCTTCTCAATTATGCAAATTAAACCACAAAACTATCTAGGCCGTTTGTCGTTTCAATTTAAATATTTATTGTATATATCTATCCTTCAAACGCGAATGACTCAATGTACCTTCTGGTTTGTGTGATCTATTTGGCCACTCTAAGTGTTTTTTATATGAAATCGTCTTGAGAGGTAAGATAAACAATTTTCTTGACTGAAGGAAATTTTTTGAAAAATTTAACAGGGGCTAATTTCAAGGAAAGGGAGATGTTTTCGGTTATGGTATTATTAGTATGAAATTAAACATGCATTGTTGTTTTTTCAACAACTCTCCTCCAAAAAAATTTCATGTTATTACCCCCAAATCCCGACACTGGTTCACATAAGGAAAAATTATTTCTGAATTTAAATTCGTGAAAGTTGTTTTAGTTTTTGAGTGCTGGGACGTGACTCGCAGGCGAATTAGTTTTTAAGTAATTACAACAGAACAAATGGAGCATTCCTGGTGACGCGTCACTACCGCAAATTTGTGGGTACCCTTCAGAGAACCCCAACCAAATTGGAGGAAAGAAAATCAACTGAAGCTACGACAGTGTAGCTTTTTTTCCACTTAATTTTCGTCAACTTCAAAACAAAGAGGACTAATGATTAAATTTCAAGTAAAGAGAATTTCAAGGAATTTTAGTCAATCAGTTAATGGTCAGTTTGTCTCTAAAGGTCAATTTCGCTTGATGGAGAATTTTTTTGTTTTTTGAAACCTTGAAGGAAGAACGTGTTTTAAATATTAACATTTCGTAGTGTTTAATTAAATATTGACAACCAAACTTGCCACTCTGTCACATTTTAAGGAGATGAGAATTTGTCAAAATGTCGTTGGTTGTCTTCGCTAAAGTAAAAGAAAGCCTACAGCAATCATTAAGTTCCGTAGTAATTTACAATTTACACGATATGCAAATGAGGCACGTCTTGAGCTTTATTCATTTTCAACAGTGTAAACAAACGGATCGTTGATGATGGCGAGTCAAGCAAGCTATAAAACTACTCGATCGAGAACCAAACAAACCAATTGGAGATTTATCAAGTAATTTACCTCCACAACTTTATACCTTCACAAGTCGATATATAACAAAGGAAAAGAAACTACATTTTGGTAAGCTCAATTCTATCTTCTCTGCCAACCACTACATGTGTACTAGTTTTCTTCATTTTGAAATGGAGTTTAGATTTCATAACTTTTTAACTTGAGGGAAGGTTCCATAAGCACGTGACTTGTGACCAAGCTCTATAAACTGCCGTAAACAGTTTTTTCAAATTTATCGTTGTAGTGTCGTATTTCGCGTGAGGCCATCGCACGACTATCACACGCAAACCCGCAATAAACACGCGAACTTTCAAGCAACTAGAACAACAACAGCTTTGGGTCAGCTTCTTTTTAATATGTCAGTTTCTTCATTGCATTTGTTCTATGTTAAATGTGTTTACATGTTTTATATGCATTAATATGAACACAAACAATATATCACTTCACAGGACAGGTAAACGTTTTATTAGTTTTATTGCTCGTTTTAATTTTTCTTTTGTGCTGCACGTTATTTCACTTTTTCAAAAAATAGGATCTGAGTGTTAATTGCCGACGGAGTTTTTAGAGTTTTAAGGTATCATCCACCCTTCAGGACTTCAGTCCTCGTGCGGATCGCGCCAGACCGCTGCGATTCTAGTCTTAATAATCACCCCTACAAATGGTACATTTTCTGAAACGTTAACGGTTCCAAATTAGGGCCAAAATGTCCGAAATGCTTAAGAGTTTCAGAAACGACGTGCTTTTAGCGAAAGTAGATGAATCTCTAAAGTTAAGTAAGGGTTAGCCAAAAACAAACTGAACTGGCCGATTTAAATCGCATTCGCTTTTAGCTTCTTGTCACGTTTTAATACAAAAACGTGCCTCATTAAAAGCAGATGAAGTGAAGTAGAATGTCACTGCGTATTGAAAATAATAATAATGCTAATGATGACGTCGGTTGACAACACAGGAGTCCATAAGCTATAGTGTCCATTTACATTAAGGAAACAATGGGCGATTTTTCCGAGTTTTTGTTTCTGTTCTGGCCTGAATGTCACCCGTTTGTAACACGAATTAACAGATGGACGGAAGTGTAACTTTAATACCGCAAAATACTATGACTGACTTTCTCAGTCTTTCTCGAAACTTTTGTCAAAAGTTGCACTGCTGTGTAAAAGTTTTACACAACCTGCAGCAATAGATTGGCGCGTTGAAAAAGAAATGACAGTGAGTTTTTGAGAACATCGCATTTCCTAAAGTTTGCCGCGCCCAACGTCCTATGAACGGCAGCCATTAAACGATTCGCCATGAGTAATTTTAAAGTCTAACTTTGACCTTCTAATTAAGGCTGCCGGGGATCTGGAGTGATTCCTGGGCAAAAGGATCGAGTGACGTCACTGAGTAATGCCAATGCATGTAGAAACTGAATCTGATGGAGAAGGACATGAATGGAACAACGATGACAAATCCAACGCGTTTTCTCGGTAAGAAAAACAACAATGCCAGCGAAAACTTCTGTTTTGCTTTATTTAGTTAACATCGTAATCTGCGCTAGGAATTTCAAGCATGGAAGAATGGACAACCAACTCAAGAAACCAGGTGAACAAGAACCAAAAACGTGTTCTATCAGATGGGGCTGGATATCGCTGGCAAAAAAGGGTTGGTCCAGAGAAGGCGGAACCTCCGCGGGAAGGAGGCGAAGGGTGGGGGGGGTGGTGGGGGTAACCTCTAAGTTATTAAATAGAATTCATATTTATTATTCACAGTCAGTCTGATATCATGTATTGAATATGGAGTTGTACACATCTGACAGATTGCAGTTTCCATCGCTGAATAAGTCTGACAGGTTGTTAAATTAATTTTTCCATCATATCCGTTTCTGTGGGAAAAGTCAGTTTTATAAGTTTACAGTGATTGTAGCGAATGAGCCATACACTAATCAATTGTACTTGCAAAAATCGACTTGGTTTCTCTTTACTTCCGTTTACTTTGATACCACAGTATATTAAGAGGTTCAATTGATCAAAAACACGCTAAAACAAACAAAATTTGAAGACAAAACAGTGAAATCCACTCAGCCTTCGCTTGTTCTCTTTGGCCTCCATGACTTCCTGATCTTTTCCAACCGTATGGCGCACGTGTGAAGCGGGGAAGCGGGAAACATATGTTCGGTCTCAGTCTTTTTCGTCCGACTCGGCAGTCAAATATCTCCACGTCGGGCGAAGAAAGATTCAAATATCCATTCCCCCGGGAGAACAAGATCGGTCAAATACCCTACCCCAGGGACAACAAAGACAATCAAATCCCCACCCCATGCCCTGCCTCCCCCCCCGCCGGCATTACATTGATAGGTGCATTAGAGGAATAGCAGTACAAAACAGTATCGTCCTCGTAAAGGAATACGCTACAGTGATTGACTCCAGTAGGCAAGTCATTTATGTAAACAAGGAAAAGTACTGGCCCCAGGATGCTCCCTTGTGGCACACCATATGTAACCGTTAGAGGTTCGGAGATCTCTGCATGAGGTGCGCTTCTTCCTATGAATGAGGTAGGATTAAAACCACTGAACAGCATCAGGAGATCATCCCAAGGAAGATAACTTGGCGAGCAGGATACAGTGATCCACAGTATCGAAAGCCTTTTACAAATCCAAGAATACACCTTCACAGAGATTCCCGCGCTCCATGTTACCAAGAACGCCATCGGCAAAACTTGCTAGAGCAGTAACTGTCTCGTGTTTTGGTCGGAAACCAAATTGCTTGTCGGTCAGGAAGTGTTTAATGTTCAGGTAATCATAAAGTTGGAAGTGAACAGCTCTCTCGAGGATATTGCTTAGAGTTTGCAAAATTGATATCGGGCGGTAGTTGGATGCGTTAGTCTGGTCACTTTATTTAATATTTTTAGCAGCGGAATATAAAAGGATATGGTTAGATAGTTTTGTCGAAGAATCAGCTGTTTGATCCTCCATAGAAATTTCTCTTTCATGCGTGCATTCGTCAAGATAGCAGAAGAAAATTTACGTGGCAGCAGGAGCAAACAACTTGGGGTTACAAAAAATGCTTAACGGTGAATGCTTTTGTCAGTTGTAGAAGTACATTTAGCTGCTTTAGCCAAGTTTAAAGGCACTCCACTTAAACAATTTGGGACAAATAATAAAGATAACTTAACAGTATTAAAAAGAAAACAGCGAGCACGATCGAACCAGTTGGCTGTGTTCACATACATGGTTGAGGATTAGAAATTAGGAAGACCGAAAATTCAAATCCACCCATTTAGGGACCACCCGACTGCGAGTCCGATGTCACGCTGATCACTTAGCCATGCTGTGTTTCTTCAAATAGATCATTTGCATGATGGCGTCATTTTACTACCATGACCAGAATCCTTTTAGTTTTTTCTTTCATATTTAAATTCGGTATTTGTTGGCGTGGTTTAAATAACAAAAACCCTAATTTTCACAACAAAGCAAAATCCTGAAGGATTCTGGTCGTGGTAGGAAAATGACGTCATTGTGCAAATGGCCTATTGAGTTGATTCTAACTAAATGGGCTTAGCAGGGTTTTCAGGGGCTGCAAATTTGCGCGTTGCTCAAAGCACACATTTTTGTATCTTTTCTTAGACTCTTCTGGTAAGAAAGAGACGGTGGAGGTGGGGGTGATTGTAGTGGGTCTCTCTTGCATTTGTGTTTTGGCATGTGCACTGGTGACTCTTCAACTTCGGGAAAACAACAGGAGAATCACGGGATCCCGTCAGAGATCTGGTTACGACAGTGGTAGATCAGGTGATCGGACACGTGATCACCTTGACACAGACGCGCCACCATCTTACGATACAGGTAAAGTTGATCTGTCATACAGTTAAATGTGCGTATTTGTGACTTAAGCTCTGACTACAACTTTTATCTCAGTAACAGGTAACCTTTCTGAGTATTGTTAGTGTCTTTCTTGTCAACTCGGCAGAAGGAGCTAAACTGGTTTGTCCCAAATATTAACAACAACAACAACAATCTTCTGTGACAAAATGCTACGATGTTATCATTCATGTCAAACCTCATAGGTAGTACCTTTTCGTGGTTCCCCCTTTCTTTCTTTGTATTGTACAAAATGAAATAAATTTTGGCATTGACCTCCCTTATGACGAGTGTTTGTATTAACCGTTTAAACATTCTTTATATTTTCAGTTATTCGCTCGCCCCACCTCTACCCACCAACTAGAAGAACCTCTATCACACTTGATATCTCCGATACAAGACGCAGTTCAGGCTCGAGTGTTTTTAGCTTGTCCCTACAGAGTGCTCGCTTCATGCATCCTTTTCATATAGTACCAATGGGCTCATCGGAGGACAATTTATCGCAGAATTCAGATGCCCGTGAAATGGATTATCGTCAGGAGGAAAATGAAGGGCCGCCGCCCCCACCGTATCCAGGGAATATCATTTTGATAGCCACACGTCATACACACTCTATCGACTCTGCAGTTGGTGTTCATTCGGTTAATGAAAATAGTAGAAACCAAGAAAGTGAAACAGCAGGTTTAAATTTTTCCAGGTCTTTAAATAGTGAGAGTCTTGAGGGAAGGGACTGAACGACCAGGATGGAGTACGGGTAATGGCTGGACCGACATTCAGGCTTCTGGTGGTGAAATCGAGAAACCCTTGAAAAGTAGGCGCCTGCCGTTAAATAGTCAAGAACGGAATATCATTGGTCACAGAAACTCTAGAGACTCTAGAACTTAAGTGTCTCACTCACTCAAGTCATCCTTAGTCCTCCATTTCGTAATCATCATTTGTGTTCCTGTTTAATGAATATATCCTGCCATGTCATATAATGGAAACTTTGTTTGTGTTTTTGAATGTACAATTGTAAATCTCGCTAAGCTACGTATACGCAATTTACAAATTCTGCTTGAGATTGGATTATTAAAAAAAAAACAGAACAAAACAAAACAAAAAAAAAAGAGAAAAAAAAAAAGAAAAGAAAGGAAAAGAAAAGACATCAAAATTGGTCTGGGCTATCCCAATTCCTATTTCTACAACAAAAGATGTAAAATTTTGCTCTAATGGCTAAATTTATCATTTTCTTGATTATTTAAAGTTGCTGCTTTTTGTCAATGCCAACGTCATTCATCACTCGGTCTAAGAACGTTGAGCATTCATCGGAGAAAACGCCAAGGGAGCTCATGGAGAGATTTAAAAATATCCCACATCTGTAATTTCCACTCATTTCGTTGATCAAGTTCAGATGTTTTTCTTTTTTCGCACTGCATTGTTGTTAAGGTTAGACTCGAAACCAACTGTTAATTCTAGAACATATAGGCACTTGGATTGGATTAGGAAAAGAAGATCTAGACGATAATTTTCACCAGTTATTATTGAGGGATTCAGAAAACCATTAACATCTGCATAGAGTGAAAAGTGAACATTGATTACAGGTTGAAGTGACTTGGCAATGAAGTTAAGGATTGAGTCGTGTCTCCAGGTAAAGCGATCAAGGTACTGTTGACAACCAGCGACAACATGAAGAAGTGATTCAGGATTAAGGCAAAAGGAGCAATCAGGACTTTGTGATAATCCCCATCTTGCCATATTCTTACGTGTAGGGAGGGAGTTGTTGATGTAGCGGATGGTAAAATTGTAAATGTTCTTGGGTAGATGAGACTGGGCCTCTGACCAAATAGGATTTACAGATGACAATGAATACTTGATAACATTTGAGAAGAAGAAACCTTGAGATGTTATGTGGTGTTGTAGTTTATCCTCTTGATTAGAACAGAAATCTTTAAGAACTTCCTTAGTGGATTTGTACACATCATATTGAATATTAGTGTGACAGCTTGACAATTTCCAGAGATCTTTTAAGGAATCACTTGGTGACTCTTTTAATGAATTTCGGAGAACTGTTTGGCACTGAGTAAATTTAATAGAGGGAGGACAAATATTAAGACCAAATTTATTGCGTTCTTGGAAAACATTGATGATAATACTAATAATAATAGCAATAATAATAATAATAATAATAATAATAATAATAATAGTTTTAATAATAATAACATGCCCATTCATATGGGTAGAGAAATTTCTGTTAACCGCCCTGACATTGTCATCAAGAAGAATCAGTAGACCTGCACCGTTCGAAACCTCTTATTTCATTGGTCCCCTTAAAATTTTAGGGATAGGGGCATTGTTATGTGACAATCCCTAATCAGGGGCACCCGACGACAATATTCCAACTACAATTTTCGGAAAATATCTGTTCGGAAGACGATTTGAGATCTACAATTTTCGGAACATTTTTTCCAAAATTTCTTGCTTGTTTGCCACCCCTAGGATTTTCGAACATCTAAAAAATGGTATAATTGCCCATTTTTAACGGATTTTTCGCCTAAAAAGGTCACCTAGAATTTTCGGGAGCCTTTTTTCTGGCTAAAATTTTCGAAAAGGTAAGTTTTGATCCCTATAATTTTCGGATCACTAGACTTTCAGCTAGGGAATCCGAACAGATAAAAAATTTTTAGGGGATAAAAATATGCCTATGTTTAAGTGGTTTTGAACTATATTCTCGTTAGGTGCCCCGTGCCTAATGTTTTCCCACCTTAACAAAAACAATCTTTCAAATAGGTGCGGGATCGCTCAGAACAATCGGGATAAGAAATGCACTCTCATTGATGTGGCTACTGAAACGCTTGTAAGAGACAGCGATACGAGGGAAATAAGCTCTCTTTAATAAGACCAGAAGTAACTTAAATATCCTTCTTATTAAATATTCGCGTTGACACCTTACGTAACCCTAATCTTAACAGTAATAAATACAACAATGCACGCTTGGCACTCGTCACACTATACCCTCCGATAACAATACCTCCACCAAGGTTTCCGAAAAACGTTCGAAGTATAAAGATCTGGAAATCGAAATTACCAGAATGTGGCAGATGAAGACAGAAATAATTCCAGTGGTTATAGGTGCGTTGGGAGTGATTAAGAAAGGCTCAGAGAAGGTTGTCAGAGAAATTCTAGGAAACATCAACCCTTGGGAAATTCAAAAGACAATATTACTGGGAAAGGTCCTATCCATCAAATGACAATAATGTTTAAGAACAAAACAATTATTGGATTCGGCTTTTGTATGATCTGAAGAATTATACAGATCTCAAAAGGTTCTATCTGCCACAGCCTTCCCCGACCATACTTCTCCTGATCATAATCAGCTTCATCAAAAAATTTCTAAACGTTAAACTGACTGAACTGAGTGATAGTGCTAGTATCATGCTAGTAAATAGTACCACGAGGAATAGTACTAACGGAAGTAGCATGCTTCAGCATCAACATAGTTAGAATCCCGTATGATTCGGAGAGCTAATACCGTGAGTCGGTGTACGGGTCCCGTGCGAATAGCCACTGGGAGAAAACAAAAAAAACCACCCAAGATTCGTGAATGAATAACATTCTTTATATTATTCTCCCAAGCCTCTGGGCAAGTTTAAATGTTAATACATGGAAATTGGTCCATCAACAAAAGATATTTAACTTTGAGAAATCGAGCCAGCAAGGAGAAAAAGGATGCCTACATCATAGGAGCTGTTGTAGGGGAGCAACCGTGGATTCGAGTCTTCAGAACAGTACTAGTTTGACGTTTTGAAGATAATCACTGAATGTGAACTCTCAGACTACCCCGTACTTTACGAAAAAATTCACCTCTTGATCGTTACAAAAGGTCTTGTAAACAACTTAAACTTAAAATATATGACGAATCTAAAACTCTGAGCCGTATTCTGTTCGACGTATCTTCGACTATTTTTACCAAACCTTCTTTTGAGCACTATAAACAGAGCAACATTACTGTTTCAGTTCGATACAGTGGCGCGTGTTCTGTACCCGGCGTTGTCAATCGAATGAAGTCGGTTGGATTGTTGTTCGATTGGTTCGGTAGTCAAACATAATCGAACTCGAACTTTTCGGTCAGTTCGATTATCGAACTCAATCGAACCAACAGTCGCGATTACCGTAGTTCGATTTTGTTTTGCAGAAAGACAAAGCGCATCCAGTTTCGACTGAATCGAAAAGATATTTCCCCTAGTATGTATTTGAAGCAGTTTGAAAACAAAAATATTTCAATTAATCTGGAATGATCTAAAATCGATAAATTCAATATTGGGAAACATGCAAGCACAGGCACCAGTTCACGTTGCAAATGTCCAAGTTGGCCGCGGCCATCGTCAGTTACCTTCAGAGTTGAATCTCTTCTTTTCTTCTTAATAATAAGCTTTTCACCGACACTGACGGCGAAAGCGGGCTTTCGAGGTAGCCTTTAACCATCGTTTCCAGAAGTGTTCACGTTTTCCGCCCTCAGCCGCCCTCTGTGACATCTTTGTGTACTTGTGTTTGAAATTGAAGCCAATGTATAACTTATTTGAACGCAACGCCTTTTGTTTGAAACCAGATGAAACTGGTTTTAATTTCGATTGTTGCATGCAGAGTCTTCGATTGGCAAAATTTTGGGGTGAGTACGATTAAGTTCGATTACCGAACCCAATCGAAGTCAATCGAACGATTGAAGTTCGACTGGGATCGATTACCGAATGTTCGATTGACTAGCCGGGTCTGTATCACCGGGCACTGAGACTTTCTACCTTGGCTACAACAGAACAGACCAGCGGGTAATTTCAGCATGCACTTGCCAGAGAATCATAGAAATGAGTTAAATTATTAAACTTACAGCTTTAAAAGACGCTGAAACTAAAAAAAGCTAAAAGACCTCGGATCATTATGTAAGGTCATGAAACCTAAAGATGAAAACGGGTTGCAAGGTGGCTAGCGAGATGCCCAACAGTGATCTACCCTTCGTCATTTTACGATGGTTTTATCAGTCATAAAAGGTGTTTTTTCATGGTAGCGGGCGTTTTGTGTTCAAAGTTTGAAATTGAAAGAATACTTGAAGTTTTTTCCCGACAGGAAATTTCCAACCGAAATCTAAAACCTGTAACAACATGACCTAGAGAACCCATATCACTTGCAACGTGTATACTGAGCTCATGGCATCAATTACATTATCAGCAAAAAAAGGTTCGGGGGAGAAAGCCCAATTCATGAACCGCTTCTGTGATCGGATTTAAAATACTTTTTAGTAAGGGCAAGAAACTGAAACAACAATGAATAGGCGACAACGTACATTTTGCATTTCTGAGCAACATTGCTTAAAATGTGGAAAGCAAAGCATTGTTTATGTTGCTTTATCTCCTACCATTTTTAAAATAGCTTATGACGGCATGGTAACGTAACGTTAGGAAATAACGAGGGGAACGGCCCCTCTTGATGTGTTCGTGGAATTGCTTATAAAACTCCGAAACTACGTCTAATCAGGAATATTCTACAGAATTTTGCTGAGGAAACTGTCTGTAGAATTCAGAAAGGCTAATTCTTTTAAAAAATGAGGTTAGAAGTCTCAGTTTTATTTGTAATTTTCTTGTGGAATCGTCAATTCAAGGTTTTGAAGACTGAAAAACTTCCAAGATTTTATCCTTTTGGGGAAAAGGAGGGAGATCAGTCAGTTGAACGAAATGATGATGGTAGTTCAGGAGAGGTGCCGCTATCCATTCCTTTCCCTTACTTTGATCAGAATCACAAGTCACTCTTTGTAAGTATAATTTTGTTATATCATGTTGTCCACAAGGCATACGTTTTATACAGTACTGTCATAACTCCTGCGACAGATGCAGAACATTTCTTGGAAATGAAACTATATTTGAACACGGCCGGACACCATCAGAGCAGCTTGCAGTCTGTCAAAAAGAAAAGAATTTTGCACCGACTTAGCGCCGAACTAGATACACTGAATGTTTAATAGCAATTTCACATTTGAATGTCCATATAAGATATAAAGGCTTTCCTATGGAATTGATTCACAAAACCACAACCATTTCCGCTGTTATTTCCAAAAGACAACAACTCGAGTTTCGTGTAAAGCTTTCTTAGAAATCACATGATTTTGCGCAATTCTCTGATTTGATTTCCGGCTTCGATACGGTATTTTGAAAAGTATGCCCTTTTTGCATGACCTTTAGTAATTAAAAATATATACAAATGGGGATTTGTATAGTCTAACATAATACGACAATTATTTCTGAAGGCTCGTTTGTTATAATTTCATGTAGCAGAAAGGGCGGTTAAAAATAGAGAGATATCAGAAGGAGCTTTTGACAGTTCAGGAAGAGTGTCCTACACTGCGAGTGCAGAATGAGAATATATCGACGTCATGGTAGGAAAAAGAATAAGAGTACCGCTGAAAGAGATAAAAGTTATGTTAGAGACGAATAGTCCATAAATAGGCTGGGTATCCTATGTAAAGATCGAAGGGTAGTTGCTGTTTGTCCGTGTTGTCTAGACGTTTTGCAGTGTTCTGAAGGCGTTTGGTATTTTTTATTTGGTCTAGTTGTGACAGGACTAAAATATCACCCAAAATTTAGGTTTTAGATTCAGAGCTGTTTTCTAGTGATCATGGACTAGGAGAATGCAGTTAGCGTAGGCAAGAGTATTTATTACAGCTCTTTTTTCTTTAAGACTTGCAGAAGTCATGAACGATACATTTCTCCATGCAGGTAAACACCAATGGCGTTATTTCCTTCCTGGATCAAGTTTCTCAATTTACACCGGATTCTTTTCCCCTGGGGGATAATCGTCGATTGGTTGCACCATTTTGGGCTGATGTTGATACTACGGTAGCGGGAGAAGTGTTCTACCGAGAAACCACGGATCAAAGCCTCCTTCAACAGGCGAGCGAAGACGTCCGAGCCAACTTTCTGGATCATAGAAAATTTAAAGCCACTTGGTTATTTATTGCCACGTGGCACGAGGTGGCTTTTTATCGCGCTGAAGGACCTTACAAAAATAAGGTGTGTGGAAAATAGTTCTAAAAACAAAAATGATATTTGCTTTAATTTTTTGATTGCTTACCTTCTTACTGTTCTTTTTAGAGAAACACTTTCCAGGCGGTTCTTATTTCAAATGGAAGACATTCTTTTGTGATTTTTAATTACAACAAACTCGTATGGACTACTGGCAGGTCATTGCAAAGTGGTGGAGATAGCGCAGGAATTGGAGGCATACCTGCACAGGTATACCAACTTTCTGAAGTTATCTTCTTTGCCAATATGTTTTTGGCACTTAATAGATTTTTTTGTTTATACTAATAGGCAGGATTTAATGCTGGTGACGGTTTTCGCTATTTTAATATCCCGGGATCTCGTACCAGTCAAGTGCTCGATCTACCTAACAAGTCGAATGTTGGAGTGTCAGGTCGATGGATGTTCCGTATTGACAACGCTAAAATCGAAGCCGCAGGCTGTAATACAAAAGGTAGGTGTGGAGCAGCACTTTACTCGTGTTCTATTTAGGAGAGGGGTAGGGAATCAAGGCTAAGCACGTGAATCATAGTGCGCATATACTATTACACTGGTTAAATTGACCATAGCTATAAGGAACACTGTACGATGAAATATGGAAAAGACGCAAAGATGCATTTGCAACAAAGAAAACATTGATATAACATCTCTCTTCGTAGTAAGCATTTCATATATGCAACAATTTTTTTTACGTTTCTCTTTCGCCATAAGAGGAGGCGTGGAAAAGGCTTGCAACTTGAAAACATTAGACTAAATTACAATTTTTTTCGTTTTGCTGTCTCGGGAAAATTTGTTACATATAATACTTTTTGCTTTCCTCCTATTGATTCGCTTAAAATAAATGCTGCTGGTGGCCGACGCCCGTTGAAGAAAGAAAATGTACTTGTTCATAATTAAATTTTTAGCAAACCACATTTCAAGAATCAGCAGAGGGTGGTGCCCCTCTAAAAATCATTTAATGCTGTCCTATTCGGTTGCCACCCTGATCTATTATCTTTGATTTGCTTTTCAGGATCTCTTGTTGTTTCACCACGGTCGGTTATGATGCTAGGTGGTGATAACATTTTGCTCTCCGGGCCTTGCTTCCAACCATCGCATCTCATAGTTTGTCAATTTGCTGATGGAAAATTAAGTAACGGAAGTTACATCGACGAAAATCGGGCATCATGTACTGTACCTATGCTTAACATAACTGGCAGGTTGCCAATCAAGCTGTCCGTCAACGGGGGAGCGAGCTTTGATTTTCAAGGAAATTTAACAATAGGTATTTTTTTGTGCTTATAATAAGGCCCTGAACACTCGAACAATGAAAAAAGCAAAACGAGTAACGTTTTTAGCAAAATCAAAAGGAAAATAGAAATGAAAAAATGAATTATAAACACACATGTAATAAAGACTGCATTGGATAAGACCATCTGACGGCTGACGGTTTTTCTAAAAAAAATTCAGCTTCGAATAATGTTGCTATGCTTTTAGTCTTTCTTTTCTTCTTTTCTTTTAGTCTTTCTCTTGAATGAATGAATAAATTAATGAATGACTTTATCAAAGTGAACGGCACTAATTGGGGACTCAAAGCCACTTTAATAAAGTACTAGTTGAAGAAGCGGAAAAACGCCCAGAAGCTATAGCGCTATGAATGAAGGTCTTTGTAACAAATAAACTGAAGTATCAAATATACTCAATTTTAACTATGTGAGACACTCTTACAACGATACCAGTTTTCTTAAACTACTACAACAGCAAAAAAAAAATACGAGAATATCCCCTAAACTTTTAAGGTCTTTAAGCGAAGAACCATTTTGTCTTACTTTCAGTGAGTATCATCAGGGATGAGCCTCGAGTGTCTCGAGTAGCCTCAGAATCATGGGAGGAACAGAAGCCTGTTAATATCACCTGGGACCCAGTCTATCTCGGCAAGAAGAATCAGACTGTGGATATTCAGTTGGTGCGCTTTTCTATGAAGGATGATGATCACGTGTCTTTTCATAGCATGTTCACCTTGATAACAGAACAGTTGAATACTGGAGAAGCTCATTTTGTTGTACCAAAGAAAGAAGGACAGGGGTAGGTATTGGAACAATTAACGTATTTAATAGCTCCTGATTCAAGATAAAACTATTTTTTCCCCGTTTTACCTGACGTTCAGTAATTAAGAGGAGGCGCACATTAATAGTAATTAAATGTTACAGTAGTGCGAGGCTAAGAGTGATAGATTTTGGTCAGTCGCTGTTCAACAATAGGGTCATTTATGCGAGGAAAAATAAGACACGTCTCTGAAATAAGACGCGAAATGTACTATTTATACAAGCATGTCTCAGTCTAAGACGAGAACAGCTCGTATAAATGGTTCGCGTCTTATTTCTGTTCTTGACTCGTTTTCATGTGAATGTTGCCCGAAGCAACGGCAATCCTACGTGGCGCGCATACGTTTTTTTATTCTAATTAATGCATATTTTTAGAGCTTCAGGTGAAAAGGATCGTTTTACTACACTTGTGACAGTAAGAAGAACAGGCAACAACAGTAGCTTTGCTTCGGCCGAGTGGATCTGGAGCGATCTTTTTTTCTGGAAAAGTCAGGAGTTTGCTAACGAACGATGTTTGTACTGGTATGAGAAGCAACCACACCATATAATATATACCGGTAAGTAATGTTTCAAAATTAACCCTCCCATATAATATGTCAAAATATGGCCAGTGACTTCTTTATTGTCTATTGTCGCAACCCGTGGAAGTCTTCTGATTGGTTGAGGTGACGTTATTTTGCGATAATGGCGTCTCAAAATATTGGCTTATGACTGGCTCAAAGAAGTTATGTAAGTCATGGGAGGCCGCTCGATACTCAAATGGTTTGGCAGGCACGGATCAAATTAAATTTACTTTTGTTGATGAACATGCGATGCATGGTGTTCAGTTTACGTTGCTTTTCAAACTTGAGTTAAATTAGTGTCCAACTCGGAAACCTTTCCCATAGTTGAGACATTAAGCATTTCCCGTTTATATTTTGTTCCTTAGGTATTTAACGAATTTATTGATCTTATATTAAAATATTTCAAGTCGTAATTGCTTGGTAGGTTGGAAATGTCAATAAAAGATTTTGTAATTATTACGCGCGCATGGACCCCCATTGCAAAGTAAATCTATCCATCCTAGAAATTTGGTAATCACGTGACCGTACATCGCCCGATCGACTGAGCGACCGTCCGTCTGCACCACAGGCATATCAATGTAAAATAACTCAATCAACAGGTATGGCAACCCAAATGCAACTCGATGTTATTTTGGCGGGAAATCGTATAGCCACCCGCGTCTTGTAAAGCGGAGACAACTAAAGAGCAGGAGCCGATTACTGCTGTAAAGAGTCAATGAAGACGGAAACGGAAAGCGGAAATTGTTTCTTTATCCATGGTCTCTAAATTATTAAGCTTAGATTAATTGTCATGTCCACAAATTTGGAATATTGAGCAAGAGAAAAACAGAGAAAAAGAGAAAGTAGGCGACAGGCCAGCAAAGCTCAACGGGAAAAAAAACAAAGGCGCCATTTTTTTGTTGGAAGAACAACGTGAAAATTTCGTAGCGGCGTTGACAAAATAAGAAATGCTAGAGGCCACCAATGCAAGGTGAACATGAGCGGCAGTGAAAAAAAAGTGGAAGGGAACACGTACGACATTTCCTCCAAAAAACGTGTAACCAAGATGTTTCTAGAAGTTTCACGTTGTAGTCGTGAAAAACAACGGCAAATCTTGAGGCAAAAAAATGTACAAAACAAATGTGCTACACGTGCAAAGTTGCTGTTTTTCTAATTAGACCTATGGCTGTTTTTTCACCGTTCTCCGGCGTTGCCTTCGTCGCTTTTATATTTTGTTTGAACAAACTTTATATAGTATCGAGAGCTTCGCCTTTAGCCCTGGCTAAATCTAAATATTATCGTGTAATGCGTATTGCGTTTTGTATTGTATTGTAATACATTGAATTGCAATTGTTGAAAACAAAACTTCTTTACTTCATCTAGCTTCGTTGTAGTAAATATCCATCAATTATATACAAATTGCAATAGAACTTCATCAAGGTATTAGATGTAAAAGAGTGTGATGGTTTCCAAAACTGTATAAACAAGAAATAATTAATATCTATAATTCTTAGAACGGCCGTGGTTTTTCATTTCTAGCCTACTAATATGATTTTTGATTGCTCGAAAACTTCATTGTAACAAGGCTCGTTAAAATAAGAGACACCGAATACTAACTTAGAGATAGCCTATTGGAAATAACTGTTTCTCACAAATAGTTAACCTAGAGTTCACCAACAGCCAGTCCCCGGTTACTCAAAGGCTGTATAGAGCTATCCCGCCTGCCGGATAAATCACTATCCAACGGAAAGGTATTATGGAAACCAATTGTGTTATTCACTGAATAAAGATTTATCCAGCGGATTTAGTCATTCCATCGTTTGAAACACTGGAGAAAGAAGACAAGCATTATTAGCAGTACAGTACATAGACAGCAGTAGCGGTTATATACAGTGGACAAGCTGGTGGAGGTTAAGGACCCTCACGAAATTTCTCCAGCTAAAACTGAAGAGACTTCATCAGAAAGACCATCCTATTTTTGATCAAAATATGATATATATTAATAATAAATATGATGTCATTCAAAATACACCTTTGAAATCATGTATCTTCTTCAACTTTTGTTTCAGACGACATTTCCCTTCTTCATTGCCCGCACACTAGAGCCCAAGCCCTTGCCGATCGTGGCCGTTTCACTATTGATGAATACAGTAATCCGGTGACTGGTGATCAGCTTTATTGCGGTGTTTATTACCATGGAGCAACGCTTTGCTTTAGAACAACTTCTCCTAGGTAATTTTAATGACCAGGGATTTCTGCTTGTTTGTAAGTCTTAACTAGATCGATGCGAGCTAAAATCGATTTTCAGTCATTTTCCCGCTTTCTGTCTGTTTCTTTTATGAATAAAATGTTTTTAAATGCAGGCCTATATTTTTATTTCGCTTATGCAGAAAGTTAAAGAACAAGTACAAATTTTACTATCTACAACTTCCAGACTGGCGACACAAACCTGCTCGCTTACATCGTCATTTATTTATATATTTATTCATTTTCATAGTAACCAAGGTACAGGTCAACAATGCTGTTATAATGAAATAGGAGACTTAATCGTTGGCCCACGCAACGGAGGATCCCTGGATCGAGTCCATGTAGAGGCAGGAGTACCAGCTCTCTCTCATTTCTTTCACGATATTGTTCCCTACTGGGATTGCTGCATGCTCTCCGACAACTGTAAAAAGTACTTTGAAAAGAGGCCTTCAAATGATGGGGCTAAGTACATACCACCAAGACCAGGTATGAAGCCAGCTGAACTTCATGGACGATATAACTACTGAGGGACGGTGTTGATCGTCCTTTGCATTGACTCTGTTACCGGAAATCAATGACAGTTCCTCATGAAAGAGGATTTAGAGTTTTTTCCTATATTAAGATGATCTAAGATCCTTTTCCACAAATTACAGGGCATCCAAGCCCGGCCAAGCGGTTAGGGTTCCCAGAGCAAAAGGTTACCTCAATACGTAGGGCTCCTGGTTATCGTTTGCCTTAGCAATGTCACTTGTTGTTGGTAGCGACCTTTTGACGGCGTATCGCCGGTCTTCATCAGACGGTTTTGTCGATTAGCTGTGTGGGATTAATTTGTGTATTCCCAGCTATTAATAAAGATCGAAATGCAGCAATCACGTGAGGCCAACCAACCATTACTTAACTGCGCTAATTAGGTTAAGGTTTGTTTCTTGTGGAAAGTGCAGACCAGTGCACTTAGTTTATCCAGTTAGTTTACAGGCATTCCACTCAATTAATTCTAAAAAAAAATACTGTAAATAGAAACATAACAGGATTAAACATTCCAACCGACCGGAGGCAACCAGCTGCCTGTTTACGAGCGTAGCCAAGGATTTGAACTAGGGGGCGACAAAGGACAAATCCAGCAAGTGGCCAGAGCAGGGCACCAACCAAGGGCCCCCGGATTGCGAGTCCGACGCACTGACCACTTGGCCACGCTGCTGCTATTTAATCAATAGTTGTTGAGGTGTAACCCATTAATTTTTGTATTTTTTTCTTTCTCTAGCCACGTCTTACGGCGACCCTCACATTGTCACACTTGACCACGTGGAGTACACTTTTAATGGATACGGAGAGTATCAGATTCTTCATGTAACGGGTCCTGAATTTAGTCTCCAGGGAAGAATGCAGCCACTGATCACTGAAGACGGAGAAAAGAGTAATGCTACAGTTTACAAAGCGTTTGCCATGAAGGAAGACGGAGCAGATCTTATTCAGGTGATGACTAACGCAAAGACTGCGGAACCTATAGGTCATTAGAGGACTAAAAACAGCGTCTGTAATTATGGCTAAAAATTAATTTTTTAGACATTTCTGATCTGTCATGTAACCAAGACTAGTCCCAAACAGCATTTGATCTTAAAGGGACTGGTTCACGATAATGCGCATGTGTGAGTTCTGACAGTAGCTGATTGTTTTTCAACCAATCGGAAGCGAGTTAGATGCACGCAAGTAAATTTACAAAATTCACATTAATTGTTCGCGACGCGAGAGTATTTCCGGGCATTTGGTTTGATTTTATTTATCCCCATAATTCAATTTTATTCTCTGCTACTCCTCAGATATATGTTGCAGCCGATAAGAATAAGATTTACAGCCCTGTCCTGCTTTGAAACAAACATTTACCAACGTGTATTTTTACGAGGTCGTACCCAAGCTAACAAAACAGTCACCGATCGGCAAACAAAATTTGTAAACAAACATCTTATTACTGTTCTCTCAGTTCGCCTTATATAAACCCAGAAATACCTACAAATAGCGCCGGACCGGTGACAAAAACACACAAAGTATGAGTGTAAAGATTATCCTTAATTGAGCATAAATTTCAATTGCTTATCAGCAAATGAACAAATTCATTCGCGTTGCATAGGGTCAGTGTTCCGCAAAACAAATGTTATCGAGTAGCGCACATAAAGAAACTAGATTATGAACAGAATATTCAGGCAATAATTTATTTTAAAAACATCAGTTCTTAAACATATACGATCGTAAAGCAAAGATACAAGGAACATTTCAAGTGTACCAGATCGGTGAAGATCGCGGGGTGTTACGAAAACTAAGACCCTCGAAAACGAAGACCTAAGACCTAAGACCCGTCTTAGTTTTCGAGATTACGAAAACTAAGACCCCCTAAAATCGAATCCGTCGAAATATAAAGTCAAATTGTAACCGAAATAGGTCTGATCTGTCAAATTATATCATGTTCGATCCTTTCCACCGAGAATTTAACGGTAAATTTAGGGATCTTAGTTTTCGTAATTACGAAAACTAAGACCCCCACCAAAACAATCTCTAACATTTCTACAAAGTCGAATTACGACCGTTTGAAGACTATAATCCGTAAGACAAACAAAAATTACTATCACACGCGTGCTGATCTACGATCCGCTAACAATTTGAAGACTCGCTTAAAAAAGAGGACCAAAGCGATAGACTTCCTACAGATCTATTGTACACTGAAAATATGCCTTACCCCTGTTGGCCTTTAATTTTGTTGTTTATCCTTTAAATCATGAAATTGGCTTTCCACTGGAGATGGATGTTTTTCTTAGTGTCTCTGCGATCGAGATTGCGTTACCTGTAACTATCACCTGAGGGGGTTTGTGTCCACCGCTTGTCGTGGACAATATTGATAATGTATGTCTGCAAATTTGTGAGCAGAAGCGGATCGTCTAGCACGCGTGTGATGGTAATTTTTGTTTGTCTTACGGATTATAGTCTTCAAATGGTCGTAATTCGACTTTGTAGAAATGTTAGAGATTGTTTTGGTGGGGGTCTTAGTTTTCGTAATTACGAAAACTAAGAGGGGTCTTAGTTTTCGTAATTACGAAAACTAAGACCCCTAAATTTACCGTTAAATTTGACCTAAAACTCGGTGTAAAGGATCGAACATGATATAATTTGACAGATCAGACCTATTTCGGTTACAATTTGACTTTATATTTCGACGGATTCGATTTTAGGGGGTCTTAGTTTTCGTAATCTCGAAAACTAAGACGGGTCTTAGGTCTTAGGTCTTCGTTTTCGAGGGTCTTAGTTTTCGTAACACCCAAGATCGCGCGGCCTGTTGCGGTATAACTACAGGTCGGAGTCAAAAATCAAATCAAAGTTGAACGAACTCATGCCTTTAACCACTTTCCAAGTGTCGTGTATTCTTTTCGTATGCCACACACTACTCCTAGAACCATACCAGATCGATAGGCTAAGCTTCTCTCTCTCCAGAGACTCTTGAGAACGTCCTGTTGCCGGACGGCCACGATGCTCTTCTCAACCTCCATGATCAAAACATTATTTTTTGCGTCTTCTTAAAACGTAACCAGTCAAACGACACAACCACACGTTAATCACCACTACCGAAGTATAACTAGACCAGCCAAAGGGACGGATGTCCGAATAAAACGAAGGATTTTCAATGATTGTACCGGTAATGGCGATTTCGAATTTAGTGTTGACCCAACAAATTTATTCTGAAGAGACAAACGGCGCGCATGCGCATTATCGTGAACTAGTCCCTTTAAGATAGTAAGAGGTTATTTGACAAGCGAATTCTGTCCAAACCAGAAAATTTAAACCGTCCATCTCTTAACAGGTCCACATTAACGGTCGCAATGAAATGGAGATTTTGGTTAATAGCGTCGTCACTGAGTATGCCGAGCAGTTTATGATGGATTTTAACGGCGTCGTTATCTTAAAATGTGAAAACACCTCTAAATACTCCGTCATGTTTAACTCTGGAATATCAGTTACAGTCGAGAGAGCTGCAGCAGATATATTGCAAATCATGATGTTGGTGCCTCCGATATTTAAAGGTGCGGTGAATACTAGAGATGTCTAGTCTCACTTTGATTTAATTATAATAATCTGTCATTACTGTGTTATCATTCTTTATCAAAAGATTTCTCCGTTTCTGATTGGCCTAAGTTCTCTGGCTAATTTCTCATAACTACCTAGCGTTGACTACATTTTTAAGACTTTCTATTAGCGCCGGCCATGATCGAAACTGAAGCAAGAACACAGGCAAAAGTGCCCCTCGAAGGATGATTTTAAACATTTTCTGCAAAAAATTCATACTTTCATATCCTGAAAACGCTAAACTACAAGAAAGTGCCATTTGTTGCTCGTTCAACACTCTCTAAGCTCGTAACATCTAAGGCCGAATCCAACGCATATAGAGCTCAGTGAGTTCTATATGCGTTGGATTCGGCCTTCGAATAACACATGTATGAAGAACTATGGAACGGATCCCCTCCTCCATTTCATGTGCCCTGTCCAATATCTGTATTTAGTACTTCTCGTCTATAAGTGTAGTTTGCACTGGCTCAGGTCCTGTCAAAAATTATGCTTCCTCTGAAATCAGTCAAATAAATTACATAGGCTCATACAAACGCAACCACGTCCCCAGATTCTTCTAGTTTTATACAACTGTGGTCAGCTAGTTTATCCGGCGAGACGCCGGGTGGCTGAATGCTGTCGAGCGGAAGAAGTTGTGGCAAAATGACTGTAAAATCTGACATGATCTACAATTTTTGCTATCTTCACTTTTCAGTATATATATTTTTACGTTTCTAAAACGCTCTATAGGAAACACAAGTGGTCTCATGGGATTCTGGGATGGAAATAAGGACCGAGAATTCTTGCTTCCTGATGGGGTCTTCCTAAACATCAATCCAAGTGAATCCAGAAGACTTCACTATGAGTTTGGGCAACAGTGTAAGCACTTTAATCCACAGAGATAACGCTGAAAAATTTGACTCAGGTCAAGCTTGTCTGTCTTACGAGACGGAAAGCACTTTGTTTTTGCAAAATAGTCTATCAACCAGCCAACAACGAGTCAGATTTATTTGCACGACCACACAAGTACACACAGTGTTGCAAAAGTTATCTTAAGAAGAATATATTTTCCCCTACGCTCCTCAACAAAAGACGCATTTACAAATACCCTGCTTTAGAGACTTGAAGTTTATTGAAGAGTAAACGAACCTTGTTTCGATCTGTAGAAAATCCCTAAAGATTATAATCCTTTTAGGAAATTTTGAATTAAAAAATGAAATTAAAAATGAGGGATTATCGCCATATTTTCTCATTCCCTCGATGGCTACCCTTTAAAAAATCATTTTGAATTCCGCAAAATAGATAAAAATTAAGGATGGTAATGAATGTTTTTTCAGGCAATCACAGAAATGAACAAATAGGTAGTGAACTTAATTGCAGTATAGGTGAAAGCCTGGATTAGATATGCAAGTTATCAAAGAGACCTATTAATGATGAAATTTTAATTCTCTTCAAAAGAATTTATACTCACAATGAGTTTTTTTCTATTTTAGGGGTTACAACCGACAATATTTCTTTATTTACTTACGAAGAAGGAAAAAGTCATGCATTTTATTTCAATGCTAACTACGTACCGACATTTTTGGATGAAGAGGAGTTTAGCTTTGATGATTCTGCCTTGGGTCAGCAAGCACGTGACATGTGTGGTGATAACAGGCAGTGCATGTTTGATATACACACTACTAGAAGGGTCAACATTGGAATGGCATCTAAACAGGCCGTGGAATCGTTTATTGAAGTAAATATTGCAACACAAACTCAGGGTAGGTAACACAGTAAAGACCCTAGAAATCGATAAGATTGGGATGGAATGTTATAGAAATCACGTGACAATCTTGTCAGTCTGACAGATTTTAAAACAATGTTGCAACGTAAACAGAATCTGAAAAAAGCAGTTAATTGATAAAAAATCTTGAAAAAAGCAGTTAATTAATAATCTTTAGACTAAACGCAACGGACTTTCGTAAACACTGCTTCAACACTGCTCAACCGTTATGATGAGTAATGTTGCATCTTGTTGCTGAAAAGCAGAAAACAATTCTTACAGGATATGCTATGTTTCTTTATCCGGGTTTATCAAATCCCTGTGGTTTATGTGAAAAAAGCGTTTTTACTGAATTTAGCTTTCATCGGTTAATTATACTGAAGATGTCGGTTTGATCATTTTGATTATGTTTTTCAGGTTATGAAGCGCGATATCGTTTAAAAGTGACGACGTGTTTAATAGCAGCATCGATCATTCTGGTCATTTTCTTCCTAGTTGGGAGTAGGCGCGGAATACCCCTCACAATTAATGAGAAGTCGCCTTCACAAGTAGGAAAAAGTACCACGGATAACTTGACTGTTGCATCACCCGAAGATGTTGAAGAAGATTCTTCTCCACAAGAACTTGTAAACGCGGAAAAATAGACAACCCAAAGACCCTTATTATTTTTTCAGACCTTTTGTTATCGCACATGCACAGTACATCATGGGAACTTCAACAAAAAGAGCTTTATTTTCGAGGAATGCGCGGTTACACTAAGTCTTACTTAGTGTAACCGTCATGCTTATCGTCATGCTTATCTTTGTTTCTAGCTGTCTTTATAGATTTGGCTTCAGTTTTAGCTGTGCAGAGGCAGTTTGGTTGCGTTTTTGTAAATAAAGGGCTATTAAAAAGTAAATAATTACTAAGTTCAGTTACGTTCTGTGCCGTGATTCTTTGTGTCACAAATTTAGAATAGCAAAATAAACTGAAGAAAAAGTATTCGCAACTTGTTTCCAGTCCTCCACGATCGCTTGAACCGGAGTCTTACACTTTTGCGTTTTCCTTCATATTGATTAAAAGACAAGTGCATGCATACTCCCTAGCGCATTTGAGGAACTTGATTCATCATAAAGAAACGGCAGATTGTGTTGCTTGTTTATTTTGCTAAACAGTTTTCTTGACTAAAAGAAGCTGTAATATAACATAGTGTTAAAAAGTCCGTAACAGAAACCGCACCACGTCACCCTTGTGCGTTTTGACTCTGCGAGTGCCAGAAACGACCTCAGACAGTTTGGTTCTTAGCGAAGGAAGAAAAAATCTGAACGTTGATCGGATTCGAATCCATGATTTCACGGTGACAGTTACTTACAAAGTTTGACATAGCGGCATACAAACTTGACACATAAGGAAGGAAAAAGTAACAATTAATTCTGAATACAGCTCTTCATTAGTTCCAAACAAAAACATCCCGGATAAGAATCTAGAGAGATACTTATCATAGTCTGCAAATACGCCACACTGAAATATGCCATAAGAAAAAAGACTATAGAAAAGGAGGTAAGACTTGTCGAGACCATACCTCAGGTCCAAGTTAGCCTGCAAAGCAAGCGTATTTTACAATGCGAACGATCTGGACGTTGAAACTGACATGACAGAGACTTGGGGCGAGTTAAAAAATTATTCCAAGAGGGGACTAGAGGGGGCTTGCTCGCCCCTCCTTCCTTAATTAGTTTTCATGAGTTGCTTTCATGATGACGACCGCAATCAATGTACCTCTGGGTCGCGATATCGTTAAAAAATTAAAAAGAAAAAAACGAAACGCCTCGCTGCCTACAATCGATGCTTAGAGGAAGGATATGTGCCTGATCTACTTAAAGTTCATCGTAAACCCATTACCTAAAGTCTCCCCTCCTCAACAAGTTAAATCCGATCTGAGACTAGCCTCCCCGCAGACGTCCTTTGGGGTTCGTTAACCCCAAAGGACGTCTGCGGGGAGGCTAATCTGAGACCGATCGCTCTGACATGTACTATCAGCTGTACTATCGCTAAGGTTATGAAGGGATTCGTGAGAAGCAGGCTTATAACTCAAATAGCAGAGAACATTGACCCCCTTCAATACGCTAGGGAAGGTCATTCTACCGCTGATACCCTAATCCACTTCTTACAGTCTATTCATGAGGCTTCAGACACTCGGGGGCGGTGATGTGCCGCGAGCCGATACTTATTGTCGACTTCCCCAAGGAGTTTGATCTTATTGATCATAACATCCTCTTGAAGGAACCATCAAGCTTTATTGATCCCGTGCTGGTTAACTGGATAAAGGCATTCTTGAGCGATAGAAGGCAGGCTGTAAGAATCGGGAATTTTTTGTCTGATTGGAAATTCCTCAAAGTTGGCATCGCCGCAGGGGACAAAACTTGGTGTTATCCTGTTTACGGTAATGACTAACAACCTACGGAAGGATTAGACACTGAGAATTAAATTTGTTGATGACACCACAGCTCTCAAAATCTTGCCTAAGGGGCCAACCATTTAACTCTTGGGGGGGGGGGGTGATTTTGAAAAAAAATTTCCTGCAAGCGCTTGTCGGAAGAAAAAAATTGCATGCAGCACAAATGTAATAGAAAAAAATTCTTGCGCTGCTGTAAGAAAGAAAAAAAAATGTTGCAAAGCTATTTCATCATTCCGGGGGTCTTTAAAAAATCGCAGCAAAACTGCAACCATTCTTTTCCCTTGCTCACTTTGAACTCTGGATTTGGTGATGCTGCAAAATTATTGCGTCATATGTGCAATGCATTATTAGCTTATCACAAGCAGTATTATAAATGGAGGTAATTTTTTTTATTAAAGAATCAAGTTTTAATAGACAAAGGAAGGTTTTTTTTTCATTTTTAACAGAAACATTTTTATGTAATTATTTTCTATTCAAATAAATATAATATATTTTTTTAAGTTTCAGTAATGCACCTATCGATGTCTAGCCCCAATTGGGGGAGTGCAGGTATACCCAGGGGCTATTGACAATTGATTTCAAATATTTTTGGTCAATAAATTTCAAATTCCACACCCTCTGCCATTTCAAACCTTAATTCTTATTCAAAACATCCCCTCCCTTGGACAAAGTTCACAGGTCAAATGCCCCACCTATTTCCGCACTCCCTCTGTTTGGGCAAGACATTGATAGGTGCATAAAAAGTAGCTGTATATTTCATGAATAAAAATTGCGCTGCAAGATAAAAATTAACAGCAGCAATGAACATGGCTGAATGCTGCAACTGTATAGAAGTGGACTGAAAAAAGGCTGAGCAAAAATTATTAGAACTATTTTTCAATTAGACCATGATCAACTAACTTCAATTTTGCTTTCACATTGGTTTTGGATATTTCAGTCTACTTTTAAATTGCAACTAATGATTCTAGCAACAATTACCATGCTATGAGCATTTCTAAACTGCTTTTTGCTATTTTTGGCTATTTCATGTTAATTTAAGAAACTAAACACTTTCACATCTGCCTGTGGTGCATCACTTTATTTTGACGTAATAAAATGAGTGTAAAGAATGACTTTCTGAAAAGATAGCTCTACAATAATGATTTTGTATAGCTTACAACATTTTAAGGCTTTGCAGCTCCATATTAGAACTATTACTGCAATGACCAGAATGTAAGTGTAAATACATTTTGTATATGTAAACACATGACCCTTTTTTGAGGAACAAAAAATCCTGCAGAGAAATGAGGAGGGAAAAAAATATCCTGCAGAGCATTTAGAAGGGAAAAAAATATCCTTCCCACCAGATTGCTAGAAAAAAAATTCTTGCCGACCAAAAATCACCCACCCCCGTCAAGAGTTAAATGGTCGGCCCCTAAGAATTAACGGTTGCAGCCTACTTAATCTAGTTGCTGATGACATTTACACTTTTTCTAGTGATCACAATATGAGTTTAAACCCTAAAAACAGCTAAGAAATGTTAATTAACAAATTCAAAATTGTGGAACATTTTGAATCAGGAATCTAAAATAAATTCCTGTATCGGAATGAATACTGTACTCTAGGATTAGTGAATGTTGTTAATCAATGCCTACAAGATCCGATTAACCTTTACATGTAATAAATCCGAAAACTACTGTACTTCTCTTTTTCCAGCAGAAATCACAGCACTGTCACCTTTTTATTTTATATCATTTTTCAAGTTTCGATGTGACATTACCAGGCTTTTAGCCGGAGTCAGCCCACTGACTGGTTTCTGTTGGATGAAATGAATGATAATTTATGTAATATGGTAATACTGAGTAAACCCGCCTTGCGTGACTTGACAAGGTCATTTGACTTCCATGCGCTCAGTCCAATATAGACTTCCATTGAGTCACAACGCAACTGACTGATGAACAGCGCACATTTTCAAAACAACTTGAACCTGAATAATGGGTCGAAAGGGAGAATTTGCGTTGTTTTTTACCATTACCATTATAACATCATTCGTCTTTAGATTTTTGTGAGTCAATCGGTCGATTGATATGCAATTTATCCTTTCCAATATTGTTTGCTTGTTTTACTGACTGATTGAACTCAAGATAATCACTCCTCAGGGTTTTGAATGGTTTTTTCACCCACATCATAAATCATTCTCCTGGACCGTGCAAGGTAATACCAGGTGAGAATTGTTTCATTTATTCTTCAAACAGAGTATTGCAAGTGTTTGTGACGGTAGCTCGGTGAACCAGAGGCAGCCCAGACGTAGTGTGTGTCAATTTCACATGGACAAAATGGGATGAGTCGTCGAAACTCCCATGAACTAAAATAGTCCAAAAGTCGAAATATGACAAAACAAAGCTAAGATACCTTTAACTGAACGTCTCCTTCTTCTTTCTGGCCGGTTTTGTTGAGTTTTGCAATCGTAGGTACTATCCACTAAAGAAGAATTAAAGGCTGGCTACAAAACTAACGGGCCATCTCCACGCGCCTTCACGCGAAGCGCTATAAGTTTGCGGTCATGGCGAAGCGTAAATGTCATCACCACCATCGTGCAGTTGCGATGGGTTTTGTGGAGCCAGCCGGAGCACTCGTTAGCTGCAGATTAGCTGATGGCAATTTGGAGCGGATTTGTCGATTATTCTCAACTGAGGAATTTATAGCGCTTCGCGTGGAGGCGCGTGGAGATGGTCCGTTTGTTTTGTAGCCAGCCTTAAATTCTTCTTTAATGGATAGTACCTACGATGCCTTCTACAAAATGCCTCTTTAACCCGCCAGGAAGAAGAAACGTTCAGGGTATGGTTTGTGCACTCTAGTCTTTTTTGAAGAATTAGCTACTTCTTCATCATTTGGCGATAAGACCATTTCCCTTTTAATGTTTACGCAACTACCGTGTACGTGCCGTAACAGCTTGTCACGCGCTCCGGTCACGCGCCGGGCTCCAGGGCTTCAGGTCTGAAATACGGTATCAAATTTTTGATCAGGTCTGAGATAGGGTTGGGAAAATCACAGATTTTGGTTTGAAACAGGGTAAGAGTTTCAGGAAGCCTGTCGCGCACCCCCACCCAATTTTTTTGGAAGAACACCCCCGGGTAGGCCTAGATACAAATATGGCAAAAAATGTTCTAAATTTCTTTCTAGAAATTCTCATAAAATTCCTAAATTTCTTTTGAATTTAGTCTAAATTTCTTAAAAAATCTTCTAAATTTCTCAGAAATACCATTTTTTTCTAATGTTAATTTGACCCATTTTTGGCTTTATATCAATTAAAGACATGAAAAAAATATATACATTATTATTTGAATAGCAAAAGATGTATATTGCAGGGCTGGTTTATTTTAAGGTATAATAAGTAAATAAAAACATCTAAGCAACTCGATTTCATCAATTTCTGTTTATTAATTAAATATTGCAATTTGCCATAAGTGCTTTGCCAGAACACGGATCCCAGATAACCGTCGTAGGCGTGACAAAACTGAAACAATCTCATCTTCTCTTCCTCTTTGTTCTTGTTCACTCGCCTGTTCAATTTCCACTTCGATAACTTCCGCCATGTTGACTGATTGATTCCACGTGGCGTCGAATTAATTTGTAGGTACTTTGTATATGGTGCATCTCATTGTACTGCAGAATAAATCTGCTGAATTGGTAGTATCGCTAGCCTGCGCGCAGACGAAATTAAACTCTGGTTAACTCCGTCTGCGAAACAGCGCCGAAATCCTTGTTCTGGACTTCCAGCTGTGTACCCAGATTTGAGTACGCGCCACGATTGGCCAGTTAAAAAAGGCCTTTGTTTTGTTTGTCGTGATCGCCAATCAGGTTGAAGGGGAATTCGAAACGCACTTCCGGTAATTCGTTGAGTCCGTTGGGGGTCCAGAACAAGGATCTCTGCGCTGCTTCGCAGACGGTACTAATCAGAGTTTATTTATCGTCTGCACGCAGGCTATAGTATCGCTGGCTCGTAAAAGGACACGAAATTAATATAAACCTTTTTTTTTTGTTCTTATGAAGTATCTTTTTTGTGATAATTGCTCTAAATATCACTTTTTTTTTCTAAATTTCTCAAAAACTTCTAAATATCTCAAAAAATATCGCGATATTTGTATCTAGGCTTACCCCCGGGCATTTTTGGGTCAGAAATGGGGGGTCATTGTACCAGGCGTTCCTTGCGGACACCGTGGAAACTGAGACTAAGAATCGTTGCGTGATGGAGGCGACGCATGTTTTGCGAAGAAAGCTTAGGAAAGATTAAATTTAGAGCTTTTCGGAAACGTGTCGGCCCAAGAATTCGATCGCTTGAAATCGTTGATTACTTTGGAGCAAGTGAACACTACTGAGTGGTCGAAAAAAAATAAGAATCTGAATTAGCAAAATTGTGATGGTCTTCACTGTATGCAAATGAGTCTTGGGATGAGCATGCGATTTATTTTCGGCGATGCATGATTGAAAAGACGTGTCATGTAAATCACTTTTTCGATATCTGGCAATGATGCTATTTCTCTGGAATCGAGGCCTTTGAATTTTCGCATATTTATACACGCGTAGAGCCTGCGATCGCAGACGTATTTCCGGTCGTCGCGAACACGCGTACTAAATCAATTCAGAAACAAGTTAAAAGTATCGGCGTCGATAACGTAGGAAGTAAAAAACATTTAGCGAGTAAATCTGTTTCGTTTCGTGTAGAATCAATCGCCCCCTCATTTCTCAATCTAATCTTCAAGCAAGCGAGACTGAATCCGCTGTAAGCGGCTTCTTGTTATCAATCAGTTACCACTGAGTTTTCCACCCTTATGCTGAATCAACATATTGAGGGTTTGTTGCATTCATCCCACTCTAAGAAATAAACCTTTGAGCAAAGGACACACCACCGCGCCGAAATCAATCCACGATTGATATTGCTGTGCGCATGCCTAAGTTACTAAGCCGTGGGTTTCCACTGGTTTCCTCTTGGGTTTCACTTGGTTATGTTGATATGGATGTGTGCAGCCACTTGCTTTGGCTAAATTATCTCTCACTAAGCCGCTCGGGGGTACTTCACCGATTCTGTTTCCTGTGTTTAAGCAAATGGCTCTGAAGATATTGCTCTTCTTCCTGACGGACTTGTTTTTGTGTCTTCCGTGAGTATCTTCTTTTTTGCATTTTTATTATTTTCTTTTACACAGATCCTTCGAAAGAAATCATGCTCAGCCTTGCACTCATTTTGAGCAGTTGCAGTAACTAAGAAAGTTTTTTTAACGCTTCTCCTGCTGTGTGCCGTTCAATAGGATAACTGACTGGGCAGTACAATGAGCTCACTATGCAGAATATAAATCTTACAAGCGGTAGACCTCAGGGGCTACTAGCAAATGAATGACAGGAGAAACTATTTGCATATTATTACATTTGGGAAACGAGACAGGGTGTAGAAATTTCTTCTGAGATTAGAGTCTATTTCGGTTGCCATTCTCCTGTGTAATATCCGAAGTAGATACCGGTCATGAACTAGTGTTTGTGCAGTGTTATTGTTGTCTTCGACACTTAACCCCCTTCATTTTCGAACAGGGACTTAGCTACCAATTGACTCCCATGTACGATAAAGACCTTGACAAACGGAAGGGTAAGTTGCTGACTTTCGACTTTAATAAGCCTGCGGAGGATCCAGTTGAGTTAACTTTAAAGAACTTCAATCGCACGGGATTTAACCCTCACGGGATCAGCGTGTACCGGGACCCAGCCACTGGCGTGACGTCCTTGTTTGTTATAAGTCACCGGCCAGACGCTGAAGCCGTTGAAATATTCGACTTCGAGAGGGAAACCCATTCACTGATACATCGCCGTACTGTGATGGACGATTTGATTTCGAGCCCGAATAATCTACATGCAGTCGGTAAGTTGTGTTGCTCTAATTAAGTCGCGGCTTCTCTTAAGACTTTCCTCAATTTTTCCCTCCTCCAGTAATGTGATTTTCTTGCATATGCACCGTTGGCTGATAATCGATTGTTTTCTTTCAGCTTGCGGTGCGTTTGCACGAAACCATTCAAATTCTGTTGAAGATTTCAGTACAGTCAAACCCCGTTAATACCTACGAACGTTCAAGGGACAACAGAAAGTGTCCGTATTAAGCGGGTCATGTTATTAAAGTTAAAAAACCCCTTTAGTAGAACAAAATACCAAGGAAATAAAAGAGGACATTATAAGCATCGTCAAATGAAACTTCTCTAACCTTTCCAAAGCCGTCATTACGCGGCTTAAGTCCACTGAAATATTTAGAAATCGCTCATTTATGTGTCCGTTGTCCGTATAAACGGATGTCCGTATTAAGCGGGTTTAAGTTTAGAGAAAATGTAAGGGCTTAGCTCATGGACAAAGAAAACTGTCTGTAATAACGAGGTGTCCGTATTAGGCGGGTGTCCGTTAAGCGGGGTTCGACTCTACTATTTACACAAATCCATACAAAAACTTTCACACTTTGCGGTTCAAAAACTTGCACGGTGTTTTTGTCAGTTCATATATTTTTCCAGACCCGCGTAAACGGGGTTTTAGCGGAGCTCTCTCGCGCGCGAAGCGAGCGCCAGCGAAGCACCATGGGAAATTGTTTCTGTATCCGTGTTGTCTAAAGTATTAAGCTTAGATTAATTTTCATGTCCACAAATTTAGAATATAGGGCAAGAGAAAGACAGAAAAAGAAAAAGCAGGAGGCAGGCCAGCGAACCTCAACGAGAAAAAGGGTGACAGAGATCTAGGACTGATCTAGAGCGAGAGATAAAAAAAAACAAAGGAGACATTTTTTTTAGGCTGGAAGAACAACATGAAAATTTTCTAGCGGCGGTGGCAAAATGAGAAATGCTATCGGCCACCAATGCAAAGTGAAAATGAGCGACACCGAAAAAAATTTGAACGAGAACACGTACGACATTTCCTCCAAAAAACGTGTAACTAAGAAGTTTCTGGAAGTTTCACGTTGTGGTCGTGTAAAACAACGGCAAAGAAATGTACAAAAAAAGTGTGCTGCACGTGCGCCCTCGGCGTTGCCTTCAAAATATTATCGAGAGCTTCGCTTTTAGTCCTGGCTAAATCTATATATTAGAGTCTTGAATTTGTTTGGAACACTAAGGGTAATGATGTCTTGATTGTGGAATGAACTTGTTGCTGTATATGACCTTCTTAGAAGTCGGGTAACATGCCTGTGTCGACTAAACTGTTGTGTGCCTTGTAGATTTAAAACACCAAATCCATAAGTTCGTGTATAGTAGCTAAATGGGAAAAATTAGATTGTATAAGACTTTCTTTACGTGACATTTTTGTCCGTTTAGAAGCGTCATATTTATCTAGGTACATTGTTAACTTAATCGGTTATATTAGTGGTAGAGGGACACACAAATAGACAAATGCATGGAAAGAAATGTTTCGGTTGAGCAATGAGTCCAACAAGAAATCGTCATATTTGGTCTTCTAAAGAGTCATCTTAGCTATCCCAGGCAGACCAGTACTTAGAGGTCAAGATCACCACCGGATTATACTTTTTAGCAAACGGCCTCAATGATAGCCTGTACACAGACGTTGTTTTATCTTTCTTTTCGTTCTTTTCGAAAACATCGGCGAGTGCGCGAGAACTAGCGTGTTTCTTCTTCTTCCACCTCTATCCCCTTGCGCTGGTGGTCAAGAAATCCCCTGCTGTTTTATTTTTATTACGCGCACTGGACGGACTTCGAAGAGAAAATAGCGGGTCTGTGAACAGGCTACCTCAATAATACAATTTTCATTAAATTGATGGAGTCAGATTAGCCAACTCATGTTGATCGGATAGCGGCGATATTCCTAGTACAACTCCCAGACAAAGAGTGCTTCCAGGAAACTTAAGTCATGATATGAGGGGGGCCTCTTTCACTTTTCGGAGTTTTAAAGATTTATTTGTAATTTTTCAATCATACTGATAATTGTCCAAATATACCGGCCACTGTACGCGTTGTACGCCTTAAAGTGTAGAATACTTATCTAATAATTGGTCGTCTTTTCCTCTGTGACAGGTCCTGACAGCTTTTATCTGACTAATATGAATTTTTTCCACAACAAAAACAAATTTCTTTGCCTTCTCCATGCTGTTCTTCTACATGACGTACTTCATGGCAATATCGTCTTTTTCGATGGATTCAAAGCAATCAAAGCAGTAGGTGGAATTAATGGTAACGGCATTGTTATGGATAAAGATGAAAGGTAAGGAAGTCGATGCCTCAGTAGAGACTTTGAGGCAGTCTATTCACTTGTAAATGTAGTGTTTCTAGACTTTTTAGTGCACATTAGAGGGGCTACGTCATGCTACTTGCTGTCTTTAGAAAAAAAAACGTTTTCCGTGACAATTGAATTCAAAAAATAATGATCCAGTTTTGCCATTTAATACTATATTTAGGCATTGAAACTGTTTCCTGTCGTTTGTTACTACGGATGGGCAAGGATGAACATGCCCAACTTTTTCAAGTTTTTAATACTACATGCCCACGAAAATTGCCAAAAAATAATTATTGTTGGTATTCCGTGTTGAAATTCGTTTGATATCTTCTTCAAAACTTGACTCAAAATTTCGTGTATGGATAAAGACACCAAGTAATGACGTCATCACAGAATTGACCTAAAACAGCAATATCCTGGTGACACCCTGGTCCCTTTAAGCCTGTATTAAGCGAGCCTGTATTAAGGGCCGGGTGAACTTCAATTAGCGGTCACTTGTCAAAGTCTTCGAACTCGTTTCTCCTAGTTACCGCAAAGTCCGCCTCTTTTAAGGTCTATCATCAGTTGTTTCATTGTCTTAACTTCCGTTGAATAACCATGGTATAACCAATCGTACTAGTGCACTGAATAAAGTAGATTCACACCTCAGCCCTACATGGTCTGTTATTTCTGCTATTTCGGCACAATAAGACTGACAGTATGGAAATCAACGATTGGATTGACAATACTTGCTAAGTTAACATATACGTTAATTATTGTTGCATTTTTTGCGTTCTTAAGAAGTGCCTCGGAAAATTTCAGTATAGTAATTTTACTGCCTCGCTTACGAAATGTTATTCACCAAAGAAGTTAGGTCTAGTCTTAACACTCAGAACGACTCCATCAGTGCTAAACTCTTTGTTCAAATTGCAACAGATTTTTGTGTTACTTTTTCATTTGTAATGACCTGTTGTTTTTACTGTCTTTACTAGCATGTATAGAACATTCGTACACTTTTTACTTGACTTAATAATGACGACCAAGAATGTCAAAACGTTGTCCTACGTCTTTTCAACGTTTTCAAAATTTCTTACTGAAAATATTTTTATGAAAAGTTTTTTCGCTATTGTTTTATAGTTTAAAACTATAATTGTGAAATATGAATTAATGCTTATGACAAGCGCATGAGAAATTTGGCCACGAGAGAAAAGATGTCCGCGCTGTCCTCCTATTCTCTCAAGCGCATCATTCACTCATCTTATTATCTTCTATTCTGATTGTAATGGATTATTAGAAAGAGTCAAACCAACATCAGCTCCGGATTCGTTTTACAGACTTGTTTTTGCCTCCACTTCGTCGGGAAGAAGCGTTGCAGTTTTCAGACGTCGCCAAGACAACACTTTGGAATTTTCTCAGGTCAATTAAGCTAAGTGCTTATTAGTATCATATAATGCACCTATCAATGTAAAGCGTAAAGCCAGAGGGGGCAGGGCATAGGGTGGGGATTTGATTGTCTTTGTTGTCCCTGGGGTAGGGCATTTGACTGATCTTGTTCTCCCGGGGGAGGGGATATTTGAATCTTTCTTCGCCCGACGTCGAGATATTTGACTGCCGACTCGCACGAAAAAGACTGACACCGAACATGTGTTTCCCGCTTCTACGCTTCACGCACGCGCCATACGGTTTGAAAAGATCAGGAAGTCATGGAGGCCAATGAGAGCAAGCGAAGGCTGAGTGGACTTCACTGTGTTGTCTTCAAATTTCGTTTGTTTTAGGGTGTTTTTGATCAATTGAACCTGTTAATATAATGTGGTATCAAAGTAAACGGAAGTAAAGAGAAACCGAGCCGATTTTTGCAAGTACAGTTGATTAGTGTATGGCTCGTTCGCTACAATCACTTATAAAACTGACTTTGTTTGTACCCTTTACTAAGAACGGTACTAACGGTATATCTAGACTTACAAAATGTGGACTTTCTCCTAAAGGTTTATGTATTCTACCCAGTGTGACACGGATTATGGTTAAAACGTATAATTGCAGCTGTAACAGGAACATGTATCTTTGGTGATGCAGCAACGTTTATAAAAGATTGCAGAGTTTTATTTGGAGATATTTTTATTGTGCCTTTCTTGGGTTCTGCCTTGGGATTGACAGCCATGTGCAGCCTGGGGTGGGGAAATTTGGTTGCATTTGACTGGAATGATTTGCCCGTGGGCAGGGAATTTGATTGCAAATTTTTGAAAAAAGTCAAATCCCCACCCTATGCCCTGCCTCTCCCCCCGCCGGCATTACATTGATAGGCGCATAATACGTTAAGATGGTCAACTGCGAAATTCTTATAAATCTATTCCAAAGAAATCAGGTTAATCAATTATCTTACGATGACTTGAGCCGCTGTCCTGGATTATTCTAAAAAGCTGGCTTTATACAAATTAAAAGCATAGAAACTGGCATGCTCCTGGCAGTTTTGATTCTTCGATAATATTTTTAGAATATGTTATAGTTAAGCATTTCGCAGCTTTTGGGGTTAAGTTGTTTTACACAGTTTTTGCGGACAACAAGTCAGTAACTGAATGTCTCCAAGGTTTGCCAAAAGGAGTCTTTAATATTCAGGAATGAACGAGCAGCTTCTTGAAAAAAGGAAGTTTGCAAGACATTTTGAAAAAAATACGACAAAACCCTTTTCTTAGCCTTCGCTCTTACATGCCTGGCTCGCTACAATCAAAATATATTGAAACATGTGTGAGCTTTGTCTGTTTGGTTAAATTTTTTTGAGGCACACTAGTTTTATATATTAACCTTGCGATGAATGATCGCCTTGTCGCACGGTATTTCTAAACAGTGAACAGTAAATGTTTGGCCATTAATATTTTATCGCTTTTTGTTTTTTTCAGGATATTAAGCTAGGATCATATATAGACAATATCAATGTTGACCCAGTGACGGGAAGTCTGTGGCTAGCGGGAATTCCTCGAATAATGGACGTTGTGGAGCATTCGAACAACCTCAGTTTTCCTAGTCCCTCTCAGATTTTAACGATGCGTCTGGGAAAACCATCTACATCCGGGGTAGCTTTTCCTGATTACGAAATTCGCGAGGTTTACAAGAATGATGGGAAAGAATTGTCAGTTTCTACGACTGCAAATGTTTATAAAAATCGTCTCCTGATTGGCTCGTTAGATAGCAACATGCTGTACTGTGAAATCAAGCACTACTAAGCTGTTTCAAAGAGAACATACAACTAACATCCGCTGTTTTGTCGTGTGTTGCATCTAGTTTATTGTTCAAATGATTCATATAATGATAATAATGATTTTAAATGATAATAATGGCAGCATCATACCAAGCATTTTTGTTTTCAGCCGTTTCTTATTTGTGGAAAACGCATCGTGCCCACTGTTTTTTCTTCTTTATTAAATTTCTGGTATTCATTTACGCTATGAACTGTTTTATGAGTCACAGTTTGTTTATTCCGCACTTAACATCGTTTGTAGTTACACTTAACTAAAACTACGTCTAAAGTTGTTTCAGTAAAGGTGACCCTCCATTAAGCCGCGGCCAACCTCTAGTAAGCTACTTCAAGGTGGTACCCAGTTTCCCGCCGAGGTTACCGGTGTCTTAATAGCTGATGCTTGACGGTGTTTTATTTATACTTGTCGACTTAAAGGGAAACGGAAGCCAGTTGAGGGTGAAAAAAGTAAATACGCTGTTTATATCATCAGTTGAGAGACACTAAAGAAAAATTTACCGTTATTCTTTGGCAATGCTATAAGTGTGAATTTTTTTGTAGTCCAAATGTTAGAATGTTGTATCACGCCAATTTTGTTACCGTAAACTGCTTCTTTTTCAGCACTATAAGCAAAAACGGCGTTAGGCTGCGCTCAGTCGTGCAGTGAGAAACACATTGGAGAGTTCAATTTGTACTACGTAACGAAGTTTTCACTTTTCTTTTCGTTTACTTTTCATTATACGTCTACAAAAATCGGTAGCCTCATGCTAGATTCATCCACAAGAATTATTAAGGCCCTACAGTTCTTACCTACTCATTTCCAAATATGAGGAATTAAAATATTAATTGAATTCGCTGCTGTTACCTTTTTGCCGTAAACTTGAATCTAACACTCTCTATTGTGTCTCGGTCTGGTCTCAAATCTTCTTCCGTTAATAGTTAGCGGTTTTATCAAGTGACGACAGTAGTCATCATTTATTGATTTAAAATTCCTCTTTTTTGCTGGGTGTCTTACTCGATATTTATCGGGTGCTTTCAGTGAAAGTCTTCTCGAGTTCAGTCCACTCCTCGTCGGGTAAATCTGTCAAAATATAAACAAACAAATAAATAAATAAAATAATGTTGTTAGAAACAATATTATCTTCGAAAAATAGGATGTTTAGGATGAAACAAAAAAATATGTGGGATATTGGAAAAAGAACATACAGGGTTTTTAACTCTATGACATACCAGTAACCCTACTTTCACATCCTGGCAAAAAAATTCATAAAATACGGTAGTGGTATAGTGAGGAGCTATGGGTGGGTGCTGTGGCTGTGTTACATTATCTTGAGGGGAAAAATTATTTAATTGAATGGCTTTGCACTGCAGTGATGTAATCATGAATGAGGCATATACAGTCGAACCTTTTTATACGGTCACATCCGGGACACAATTCCGTTGTGTATGGGCAGCGCGTGCACTGATATCATTCTATTGGCATTTGGTGATAGATTATTCCATAACAATGCCCTCACTGTTGCAAAGAATGCGTTTGAAGTTCTCACAAAAAAGTAATAGCCATCTCTTTCGCTCTTAGCCCTAATAGTGAAGATCGTCAGCACGTGGTTAAAATTAGTCTATTCCAGACGAACTATTGACACTATTTACACAGAAAAAGCGATAAATTGCAGATCATGTCGCGATTCAAATCTACAAGAAAAACTGTATAGTTGCAAAGTCGCAGTGGGTGAAATATAGCAGCTAAACAATGAGTTATTATTTGTAAGGAGAAATGACAGTGAAGAAAAGATTTCACATTGATACGTACTCTCAAGTGTCTTCAAGACTATTCCATATCCCTGAATGATATCTTTCGTTAGAGTTGAAAGATCCAGTATGCTCTGGCCTGAAGTGGCAGAAACAGGAATACTGCTCAGGAATTTACAGTCTTCCTCCGTTAGCGGCTCGTCAGTTAGTAATACTTTTTGGTCCTTTTGATTCTTTTTCAACAGAGCCTCTTCAAACTGTGAAGAAACAGACACGCTTTTACTGGTTAATCTTGGGGTCTAAAATTGTTATTCGCGTATAAATGCAGATGACAGCATAGGAATCAATGCCTTCTGGCCGGCCTAAACAGGATATGTCTTGATGTACTTGATCTATTTCTGGCCATAAGCCATTTGATTTATGTTAGCATAGCGAAGAACATTCATCACGTAAATATCATCAGGGACAACTTTCGGCATTTCATTCATGCTTCTAGAGCTCTTGTTACCCTTTCATAAACCTGAAGCCTGGAAAAGGTAACCCTTTTGGGCGGAACTCCCCGTATAGGGAGCTAAGCGATAGTTATATCGTCGGGAATTCATAGCTGTTATTTGAAGGTATATGATTATATGACTATGCGCATGCTTGTTGAGAGCCAAACAGATTAGGTATGAAGAAGTTCTATTAGGGTTTCACAGGGAGTAGGTTGGTCCCGATAACTTACCCATCTCCGATACTTGCTGACACGCGCTTTACGCTGCTCTCTGGTGGCTTCAGTCATCAAGACTTCCCTCTTTATAATTTCCAGTTTTTCGACATCATCAGGTGTGAAATACTCTAAAAAAAAACGTTGCTACATTCGTGATTACACATCCTTGCATATTCTAGAACATGGAATTCTAAGAGGATCCAATCAACAGCCTTAAAAGACGTCTTCTCGGAGGTACGCGTGGGTTATTTAAGGTTCCTCGGATCTGCTGATCGCACATTTGAAATTAAAAATCCTTGTTAGCGAGGCACACTACACCCATCGATAAACGTAACTCTCACTTGGTATAGCCATGGCCTCTGTGCTAGCGGGGGTTTTAGCTATATGATCCAGGGGGATAGTTTTGTTTTCCAGGAATTTGAATGTTTTCCCTCAAGTGACTGTGTTTTGTATTTGCCACTGTACTCTAACTGTTTATTTACCTCATACTGTAAAGGTTTTTTTTTTTAAAAAATGATTATATGGCCATTACACCAGTAACCTCCGAATTAAATGTTACCTTATGGGAGATTCATCTGAGCTGGTCAGTAGTTCTCACCTGGCAGATCCGTTTCGTCTGAGTGCAGATTGGTGACAACATCGTCCCATTCCTCGTCATCATCTTCGTCCATCCCACCTTTCGGTATTGGGCCAGATTTGCCTATATACTCTCCTTTGGGTATTTCCAGTAATCCTTTCTCTCTGTTGTACTCCACGCGGCAACATTTCATGAGAATAGGACCCGGCCAACACCTGGCTGCCATTCCAGGAGGGATAAACATGTTTCTGATGCTAAACCCTATCTTTGTCGGTTTTAAACTCTTTGGTGGCAGTTGAAGATTCGCTTGCCCGCTCAAATCTAGCTGCGTCTTTCACGGTAATAAAGCCGGGAGTGGTTAAGAAGAAATGGCAAAAAATTCATATCAAAAATGCTGACAACAAATATGATAGCATGTGAAAGCACTGCCCAAGAAGGATTCTACATCAACTGAGCCAACAATTTTTTTTCTAATGGAACTCAAAGGTCGGATTGCATTTTTATCTTCACACATTGAAGATGAAAGCTAGCTAAGCGAGTGAGCGGTCGCCTCCCATAAACTATCATATTTAGTTGGAACCTCTCGTGAGGCGACTGCGACCACTTTTGGGGTTGACGGTTTAATGATTTGCTTCTTTTAACCTCTTGAAAGGAACTACTCGCCGAATATACAAAAAACGTTTAGTAACAACATGGAACTACAGATATCGCATCATTTGGAAGCCCTCAACTTTGTCTATTATTTGTTTATTTATTTATTTTTTTGAAGGGGGGGGGGGTTGGAGGCAGGCCATTCACTTTCCAGTTGCTTTCAGGAGGGCAATTTTGAAAACATTTTAGGGTAAAACGTTCTGGAAAGGAGAATGGTGTACCAAGTTTAATTTTTTAGTGGTATTCTGAAAGTTTTCTGAAAGGTTCTTTTCATACCTCTTGTTCTACACAGCCATGCACTTCCAACTTTTCACTGTAAACAACTGATGTTATGAGAAGTAGTTTGGAGTCTTCAAAAGAGTTCACTTTATTATACTCGAGTGCTGTTTGGGCCAATATATCACGGAGATCTGGATCGGTAATGTACTCCTGGCTAACTTTACCAAGCTCTAGGTAGCCCAGATCATCAGTGGATACGATTTTTCCCTTTATCGCTTCCCCTACTTCTAAATGACCTTCTCGACGGCTGAAGTACAAATGATAAAGATAAATAAAGATACTGGCAACGTCAGTTAAGAAGTAAGATAACAAGATGCACGTTCATTTTGCCTCATTAAGATGTAAATAAACGGACAAACAAATTAGGAAACCTAGGGTAAATACTGACTGATTTCCTAAACGAGGGCCGAGGGAGAAAGCTTCTAGGAGAGCCCGAAGGCATGCTCCCTCCCCCCCTCCGGTAATTTGTTTGGATTTTGACTCCCTAAAGTTCTGATTCAACTTAGAAAGTTCTGATTCAGCTTGGAAAGTTTCATTATTAATAAAAATATTTTTATTATTTTTTTATTATTTTTCTGACCGATTTCTGGAAAACGCTGGAAACCAGTGTGGATCCGCGCCTGTGAATCGAAAAACGTGGCGAGCCTCAGAGGTAGAGGGCCAACAGTACGATATCCTGGTAACACATCAATAAAATGGCTCTTTGTCTACATTGCCGGATCGAACTGAAATTTGAATGAATTTTAACGACAAAGGTAGTACCGGAGTACCAGGAGAAAAACCATTCGGCGCAAGATCAAGAGCGATAACCAACATCCCACATATGGCGTCGCCTCCGGGACTCGAAGCTACTCGCGCTACTCTTAGACTGCGTGCAAACGGACGCAACAACTCCCAACCTTGTTGCACCAACAATCCCAGCAATGTTGGGACCTGCAGTGCATCGTGGGAAGGATACAACCCATAAGTCTTTGTAAACCATGGGTAATGAGCGTGCGTGGCCCCAACAATGTTGGAAGAGCTGTGCGAACGGATCCAACATCGTTGCGCTACGCTTCGGCGATCACGGAACAAAAGACATGTTGGGAGTTGTTGGCTGAAAAGTTTGACCGGTTTCAAACTTTGCGCAACAACCCTAATAACATCCAACAACATCCAACAGGGTGTGCAAACGGACGCAAAATGTAACATCCAACAATGTTGCGTCCGTTTGCACGGGGCTTAACACAACAATGTTGGAACGGCTGTGCAAACTGATCCAACACTGTTGCGCTACGCATCGGCGATCACGGACCAAAAGAAATGTTGGGAGTTTTTGGCTCAAAATTTTGACCGGTTTCAAACTAAACGAACAACTCCCAACAACACGCAACAACATGCAACAACATGTAATAGAGTGTGCAAACGACCCAACATGTATCATCCAACAATGTTGCGTCCGTTGCACAAGGCTTTACTCCCAAAGGGTTATTCCCATATATGAGCTATCAGGTATGTCTCGCTCAACAGGGTATTTTTTGACTTCCCTGACTTTGTAACAGGGTATAAAAATTACCCCTTATCCCTTGAAGAGGGTATAGGGTATATTTTAGTTCATAAGAGTCGATTTTTTCCCCATAGTCCCTGATTCTCAATCAAACTAAAGTGTGAAACTATCAATGCGTCTGTCGTCATTGGCCATCAACAGCCACAGGAACAGGATTCATATATATTTTGATAATTATTGTCTGAAACAGGTTCGCAAATTCATCTCTTCTGTCTGGAACAGGTCAAGAGTCTCAAAGACTAGTCGGGCACACCCCATTATAAATTTAACGGATTACCAACCTCTCTCGGGTCTCTTAGTCCTCTTAAAATAATGATCAATTGCTTTGTTCATCAGCTTTTATTGCTATCAAGGAGTTTCACCTTAAAAATTTGTTGTTTTTTGGGCAGTTTATCCCGAAATAGCAACTCCTCTTGGTAAGTAACAGTTACAAGACACTTGTTTAGTAATTTTTTCTTTACTTTTTCTTTACTTCTTTTTTTTTGTTTTTTTTATAGCGTTAATATTTCTTTCTCTTTTTTTGCTTTCCCCCGCCTCGATTAGATTTTTGTATTTGCAGGGAAACATTAAACATTAAACTCTACTGATTGTATTGTTGATGTTTTCCTAACAATACTAAAGTTTTGTTGTTAGTCATGTCAGTTTCCTATAAGGGTCTCAGAGAAAAGGAAGGCTTTCAGAGATGATGCTGAACTTTAAAAGTACCACACACCTGTGTCCTGACGGACCAGAAGTATTCTTTAGTTCCGTCAAATCCTCTCGAGTCACTTTAGATTTAACTTCTTCAAGGAATTTCTGTACTTCTTCGCTCTTCACATATTTCTCTAACCCATCAAGGATTACAAATTCTGTTCTAGCAAAAGGCCGTTTCCAAATGCACCGAGGTCGTTTTACGACCAGAGCGAATGGTTTTGTGGTTTTCATTTCACCGTGAAAGACTGGGTAATACTTTTCTTCACCAAATGTTTCCTGGGCAAAGATGCGCAGTAGTTTTGATTTTACAAACATCTAAAAGGGAGAGATAGGACTTGATTAGAAAACGCTCTTTGCCTTCGAATATTTGAATACTATAGCATGTTATGTAAATGTATTTTTTCCCGTACGAAGCACCAAGAAGCTCTTGTGAGAACTCGTACACGCCTCCTGTTGAATTCCAGATCGAATTGAAATTTATTTATGATTTTTTTCCCTTTAGATATGTATGCTCAGAAGTTTCTATTGCAGCGAATTCGCATTAAATAAAAGTTAGGCGCACATTGTTTTCGAAAACTTCGCCTTAATTTGATGTATGTAAGCCTAATCTTTAAAAAATTCGGGTAAATTTTGTGTAACGTAAGTTTTCTTCGCGTTGGCAACATGCATCGTTAATTTCCTATAATAAGGTATATACAGACCCTTGGGTACTTCGTTTTCGGAAGGTCTTTGGCATTACGCACCATACGTACATCGGTACGTCCCCGGGATATACAAGGCCAAAAAATCATAATAGGACTGCAGGTAATGTGATCTCTTGATAGGCTGGTATAACCATTTTTAAACCGACACCCAATCCCTATATAAGGTATCAGTTCTTTTTGGTACAGTGGTGCGCTTTTCGTTAATGGAGTCAAACCATACTTCAAGAACTTGAAAGTGACCTAAAGACACAAAGATCTCACTTGGTCGACGATTGGCAACGAAAATTTCTATGTGCAACATACAAGAATCAAAAAAAGAAAAAAAAAAACAGAAGTTCTGTTTCACTGAAAGTAAGATCCGGAATATTCGCCCCCTGTCAATAAAAGTACTTTCCAAAACCCAATTTAAACCGAATTAAAGCATTTAAACGCTTCTTGAAATCCTCAATCTCACGGTGATTGTATCGACGTCTCAAATTATACAATGCACTTCGAAGTTTAAGCAATACATCACCATTACAGCACTGTTCGTCCTTTGTTTTACTCATATAAAGAGTGAATCTTGGATTAATTCTTTGCTATTGATTCCTTTTCGAAATCACTCTTTGGCTTTTCAATTGAAAAAATATGGAATGTTGCCCTAAAAGCGACAGCTTTTTTACATAATTCATGCTGCAAAATAAAAAAACCCCGAAGGTGTTATGTACCTTATGAGTATAGAACACTAATATGGCGCTAATAAGCTCTTAAAATCTTACGGTTTGCTTGCGATTGAACCTCCTTATCCAAACTTGTTAAGATGAGCTTACAATCGGTATGAAGGCACGCAGTGAAACTTTGACAAGGCCGAATCGATAATACTTCTTTTTAAGTATAATGACAGGCAAAACAAAAGGCCACAAACTTTCACTTTAATTTATTTCCTCATAACTCATTTTTAGACCGAACTTTCCCTTGCTTAATGCAATCAGGATTGAAAACAGCAACACAAGCGGTTGAAGATGTGGAGGCTTTGAGCATTCCTCTAACATCTAAAGGGAGTTTATTATGTCAATAAGCTAACTGAGGGTTTAGTTAATCGCTGTGTTCAAATAATATTACAAAAAAATAAATATTTTTTTCAGTTTCCATAATCCCATCTCTATAATAAAAAAATACTTTTTTGGCCAATCAAAACCCGTCCAGTATCAGAGCGTAGTTGTTTCCTTATCAAATTATGACATTGTTTCGGTTTCGGATAAGGGGTGTGACATTTGCGAAATGGCATAAATCATGCGGTTAAAGTTTGACATATTGAATAAATAAATAAATGAACGCATTCTAGCCCAAACCCCACAATTTATACCATTCCGCGTGCAATCTCATGTGCCGGTGGCCTTCTGTAACATCCCTCCCTTAAAGTTCACCTAATTTATCGTGATTGGATCTATTGCATCATTACATTTTAAAATCAGAATTTTTTTTGCCTTTACTGTACATTAAGAATATGTGTTTTGGTATTATTGAAACGTTTTTTTAAAATATAAAAAGTTACACTCGTAATATTATGAAAACAATAGAAACTGAAAACATAAAGACGTGCAAAATAAAACATACAAACACAAAAAATCCTTCCAAATAGTACACGCCATAAAACCAGAAATAAAGCCTAGATTATAAATTAACAAGAGAAAACAACTGAATGAAATCAAAGAGGAAATACTTTGGAATAACCGCTTTATTAAGATCGGCGGAAAGACGGTTTAAGGCATTTTAAGAATTAAAGACATCCTCAATGCTCACGATAACTTCCTATCTTTCCAAGACCTTAAAGATACTTTCGACGTTCGTGGTACCTTTCTAGATTACGGTGGTCTTCTGGCCGCGATTCCTAAAGATTGGAACGAAATGCTATCTTACATGGCAATCAGGCACACACCGACGAACTAATGGTGACGCAACTAACCGTTGGAAATGTTTCAGCAAAATATGCTCGACTAATGTTTGCTGGGAAAACGTTCTGCCCTCCATTAACTGAATTCTATTTAAGAGAACAAAAATTCACTCCTAGTGCCGTATATGAGCTTCCATTCAAAATCGCCATTGAAAATAAGCTAAGAAGTTTTCAGTTCAAAATCATCCACAATATTCTTCCAACCAACCAACGCCTTTGGAAAATGAATGTTAAATCTTCTCCAAAATGCAAACAATGTGATGCTCCTTGTGAAACTATTAGGCACATCATACGAGTGTCCTGCCGTCAAAATTTTTTGGGAAAAAGTCATAGATTGGTGAAATCGGAGACGTTCTGAAAACATAAATCCCAATCCAACGGAAGTTCTTTATGGATACAAACCTGAATCTAACAGCTTTCATACTTTTAACCATTATCTCTTAATTGCTAGATATTACGTTTACTTAGCAAGAAACAAGTTTGAGACCCAAGAACTGGAGGTTTTCCGCACTGTTCTCCTGGAAATTAAACCTCAGTGCGAAAGAGAAATTACAATAACAAACGGAAATCTTAACATATACATAAATAAGTGTACCACCCTGTGCATTTCTGATTAGTGTTCATTTACAGTAATTTAGCAAAAGCGCACTATTGTTATCTTTCTATTTGTTCTTCTAGTTTTTGTTAATCTGTTGAACTTTCGTATTCCGCTTTTTTGGCTTGTTTTTTTTTTTTTTTAACGTTTTGCCCCCTTTTTTGCCGCCCTGTTATTGTAAAATTTATTGTGATGCTATGTTGAATGATGTTAAATAAATTAATTATCTAAAAAAATAAAAATAAAAATAAAATGAAATAAAATTTCGAGAATTTTGCCTTTGAATTTTTTTCAGAATCATTGATCGTCTGTTAAGTAATTACCCAGGCATCCAAAAGCCGAACTCTCGTAAAAGCTAATTGTTAAGTACAGCTGCAAACTGATTATACAACTTGTCGTCTAAAGCCGACTGAGTTTCCGAGGCCAAAGATATATTTTCTTCTCCTGGTAGCTTGTCACCTGCTTCAGCACAAAAAGATTCTAAAAATGTTAGATTTGATGTGACTTATGTAAGAAGATTAAGAAAGTAAAAAAGGGAAGGATGACGATGTATTTTTTCTGAGAAATTTAGAACACCGAAGCCAGGAATATGTTAAAATAAGTAGAACTAGAAAAAAAAAAACTGTAAAACCGCGGTAACTTGAAATATGTTTCGCTCTTCGAGGATCGTCAGTCGTGACCATCCCTTCTCTGCAAGATAGGGTATCTTATGTTGGAAATATATTTCAATTTCCCCTCGGTTATACATTTCTTATTACGAGTTTTATACCTTGCTTTTTTGCAAGTCGAATGCAAAAAGGCGTGGCGTCCTGTTCACCTAGTTCCTAGCCGGATGTGCTCGCGGGAGTACGGAGCGGGGAGGGAGGGGGAGGGGGAGAGAGCGAGTGAGAGAGGGGGAGAGCCAGAGCGCCGCGGGAGAGCTAGCACGCAGGCTAACTAGTTCCAGCAAAGTGATATCTACTGTGAAAAAGGACACAACGTTAGGGAAACAGCAGATCCAATACAAAGTGAGCCTGACGTACTTTATTCAAAAACAACCTCAGGTCGGGATTGATATAAATAATAGCACACTATTGATCGGCGTTCAATTCGGCGGCCTTTATGTCATCAAACACCATATCCATTCTGTCAAAAGCTTCCACCACAAGCGCATAGACCTAAAAAAAGTAAAACGTTTATCAGAATACAGTGCAAATGGCAATAAAACAAGCTTGCGTGCTTTTCTTTTGAAAGGCAACTAGCTCTTGTACTTCCCATAAGATAAACCTCTTTCCAACGGGTAAACTAAGGCTTGGTCCGCATAAATCAGTTTAAGTTTGTAAACGCCTATACACGTTATGGTCGTGATCAGATACTTTCGTAAAATAGTCTTCTAAGAACAAGTTTGTTACGCTTTTCAAACTTAAACGGACGGGCACAATAAAGATGACGTTTCGCTCCGACAAAGGCCAACCGTTCGAAACATCTTCTGAATCATTCTATGGCGCAGGAAACGGAACTTAATTGACTCACTTGATAAAACCAAATTGTTGTGTTCGTGTAAACATAGCGGCCTAATTGCCATATTCTGAATATACCCGGCGTCACCCATTTCTTCAGAGAGACAACTGGACATAAATCACGTTGTTAATGAAAAAGCAAAGCTAATAACCTGAGTAAAAAACTTTTCTTTGTACTTTGCTTCTAAAACTGGGTCCACTGTAACGCCATCCACACTGGCTGGTGTCTGACAAAACAAAAAAGGCAGAAATAATCAGAGGGCAGACGCTACTACTACTTTACCTCAGATTAAATCACCAGATAATTCAACAATTATCAACTGAAAGACGTAGTAATACATGTGGAACAGCAATATTACGTCAGCCAATCACAGCAGGCGCCGACATTCAAAAGAACCAGTAAAAATTTGAAGTAAAATAACTCCTGGCTAAGCGCTGGAAAACTGAGCAACGACCTATTTTTAGTCTCAACTGTGATTAGTTAGAAAAGTGGTACTAGATGTTTCTAGCAGACTGAATTAATTGTTTAACATGAGAATAGAATTTGCCGGCACAAGTCAAGTGAAGAATGTCGCAACAACACGTGATTAAACCATTTCTCTCCCTCTTTCTTCATATTAAGTTAAGTTTTAATGAAAGACAAATCTTACCCGGCAACGCGCGTTAGTTACAAGATATTGTTACTCCACCTATATGTTCTAAAGAAAAAACGTGTAACGTAATAGAGGGGTCGTAATAATATTGGACCGTCCAAAATTAACTCACCCCAGTCCGCTCTGCTGCTGTTTCGCTAAGGGCTGATTTTGACTGTGAAGAAGGAGTACTGGTACCTAGAAAGGATAAAGATGAAAATTAACTCGCTAAAAACTTCTTTGCCAGTAGTTTTATTTTGTACAAGGGGTGGTTAGTAAACAAAGGTTAGAAAAACAAGTGAATAAAACATCTTGACTAATTTATAATTTTACCTCTTCCTGACTTTTTCGCTGATAACTTGGAGCGTTGCGTTGACGTAGGGCGATCCTAACAAAAAACAAGTCAGATCACATGAGATCAGTCGTTTGCTAAACTAACTTTGTTTTGATGGTCAAATATGCCCATAGAATTTAATTGTTAGCGCATATGTGAATTTCTAGAATATTAGTTTAGATAGCTTTTAAAGTCATTATTATTATTATTATTATTATTATTATTATTATTATTATTATTATTATGAACACCATCACAAGAGAAATATGTTGTCAACATTACTGAGTTGCAATTTGTTTAAGAATTACTCTCGTCTGAGATCTAGTTAGTAAAATGTGACACGTGGCTGTTCAGTTTTCGTCATGTAAGCTCCATCGCTTATTCGCTTGGTTATTGTTTTAGACTGTGTTCACACTACTATAACAGATAGCCTTTACACCGCCATGAAAATCATACCGCATAGGGCTCAGTTCTGTTCACACATGAACAGATGTAGCGGCGCCTCGCCGATTTCTAAGGTGGAGAGTTACATATCGGATAGGTGTTCATATAATGCCGGAGAGCTTTTCGTAGCTCAACATAAAACCTATCCAGTATAGTGTGAAAATACCCATATTCATCGCTCCATTTTCGAGTCTTTTTAAATGGCAGCAAGCAGTTCTGACAATGTGGCGTTCGATTTGACACTTAAAAAAAGCCCAAGCTCCGTGCTTAGAATTAGAGATATCAACGCTAGACTCTTTTTCCGTCGTTAGCCTTTTGGCGTAATCTCTATCAGCTGAGCCATGGAGACATTGCAGCGCTTTACAACGAAACTTAACAAAGCTTTTTGATGTTTTTGACATCTGCCTTCATCGCCAAAACGCTGGAATCTGTAGTCATATTTAAGTTGTGGTCTAATGTGGAATTCCATTACTGAACGTACACAGGGTTTACTGGCTAGTTTAGGGGTAAACCATCAAAAGTTTGAGTATGGTGAGAAAACGTGTTATACTACTAAGCTTTATACTACTACATAAGAAATTTCTGCAATTTGATTGGCATAGAGCACTGGTATTTCACCTTAATTTGAAATACCTATATGTGAAAATTACAAACCATTTGCGGGTAGTAGTATAACCAAATAATAACATGATTTGGACGTGATATTTGGCTTAAATACCACTCGTGATACTTCAAAATTGTCTCAAATTTCACTCGCCTAACGGCTCGTGAAGTTACGTATAACAATTTCGAAATATCACTCGTGGTATTTATGCCTAATATCACTACATATCATGCTATGACATACTAATATTTCAATGTAATTACAAAAACACAGGTTCTTGATACGTCAAGAAAGGATGGAAAAAGTAAACTCTAAGAATTACTAACAAACAAGCCCTCTTCCGATTCCAAATAATTCTGAACTTCACAAGGTTGTGAGCTCTGAATGCAGGTCTGACCAGTCTCCTTGATGACAATGTAGAAAAGTATCAAGAAAGGGAAATACAACAGAGTTTGCCAACAAGTCACGAAATCTTATTTCTGTTACCCGGCATGTTTTAGGCAAGTGAGGAACCCGAAATACCGCGGTATAGTGGATAAGTAACTTTCAACATTAAATGGAGAAATCAGTAGAGACGCGGCATAAAGTAGTTGTTTATACAGCTATCAAAAAACGAAATTAGTTTTGTAATTAAGTCATGAAGTGAAACCACAATTTTCGTTGTTGATTTCTTCCTAAAAATAACATACTTATTACTACTCTTCATTATGCAGGTGAAAAGAAATACAGATAGCCATTATACAGTCGAACCCCCGCTTTACGGGACACCAGCTTAATACTGATACCTCCGCGTTATTACGAACAGTTATCCTTGTCCTTGCAGGGGAAAGTAAGTCCTTACATTTTCTCGAAATTCAACTCGCTTAATACCGACACTTTCTACGCCTACTCAGTGTTCGTATTCAGTAACAGGGTTTGACTGTACTTTGCACGTAGGGTCCATTCCAGGCCTAAGTTTAGACGAGCGAAGTCTGGCAAATTTAGAACTTATGAGCAGAAACTGATGCTTTCGGATTTAAGCATCAATTTTTCCTAATTAAAGCAACAGCATTAGCACATGAAATAATTAAGTTCGACAAGGTTGGAAGCGGGTCTTTGCACAAGAATTCTGAAATAGGTTGGCTGAGAAATTGCTCTGAGTTGACAAAGGTTTGCAACTACCATTGCAGCGCATTAAACGAAACTGTTACAAATCAAAACAGTTGAGGTTTTGAATATCATAATACCTTTAGTAACAAATACACGAAACTTACAGTGTCAGACATTTTGGCTGTTTTCTTGTCTTTTTTGTCTCCCTTCTTAGTGTCTACTTTGGTTTCAGAAGTGGTTCCTTTGCGCAGTCTCTGTGTAACTAATAGTGAAACACGAATCTCAGAAACACCAGGCCATGGATACTAGTTGGTGCCTTCCACAGGCCTAGTGGCAAATAAACTCAGATTTTTCTTACCTAGTCTTTACCCTTTTATGCAGTACCCTTGTACTAGTGAGCCTCAAAAATGATCTCAACCTAACATTTTTTCGCCAAATAATTGTTTTACGATAAAACAATGACGGCACGAGGAAATAAAACACGATTCCATATGACAGTTGAATGTCGAGCATGGTGTTTGATGATCAAATAAATATTCAGAATACTGGCGGCTTTTTAAGATCAATGATAATCACTTGTGATAGTCATTTGCTTACTTGTTGGGTCTGCGTTTTACCAAATGCAGACATTATGGCAACAAGCAAGGGCTCAAAACGCTCATAGCTGTCTACGTAACAGGCAAAGAACTACTTAAAGCGATATAATCATATCATTTTGAATGACCCTGGGGTCACTGTTCAGTCACGCTAAAAGCAATACCTTCATCTTGTGAAGTATCCTCGACAAGTTCCCGCTCAGGAAGACCAAGTATAGCTCGTATCATGTTGGCCTGGCCCACAATACTGTCCACCATCTCACACAGCACTTGATAACTATAATGCAAACATCCCAGGAACAAGATCCCTTTCACTCTCTACTTCAATGATTCAATTAAAAAAAAATTCCAGATTTTACTTTCTAGAATGTTGAAAGTATCTAGTATCTGCCAAGGTTGAGATTTTTGTTTTAATTTTTTTTATACTCACTATTTTAAAATCGATAATATAAGGCATCACAAATTGAAATGTTGACCTCGTGATGAAGGTACAGTAACAAACAATGAACATAAAAAAACCGCCTTTATGCGGAATTCTACTACTAATTTAAGTTATGACGCACCCTGCAGCATACATGGCGTGTTTAACAGGTGTCATTGGCGGGAATGACAGGGTCGAAATACAGCTGTTCAGTGTTTGTAGAAGGCTTTCACGCTCATCACCATCCTCAACTGACATAATTTTCTAAAACAAACAAAAACGCATGCTAGTTAACCAGAGATCTCAAAAGATATATCGCAGAATCGCTCTCGTACTAACAATATCAGTATATAATGGATTGAACTGATTATCAATCTCAATTAACATTAATTTCAACAAGTGGTACTTGTAGTTATAGAAGGTAACCCTTTGTGTCTAAATTAATTGAGTGAGCTATTTATTGAACGAAGGGCTCACTAATTGCAAGATTTCATGCTTGTCTCTTTCCTCAAATGAAAGATGTTCTACAAAATCAAAAACGCGAATGATGTTTTGAAAAGAAATCTGAGTTCTCCCGACAGGCGTCTAAGCTATGACCTTCTGGTTACTCATCCAGATGCTCTACCATGAAATTACAGTAAACTCGTGGGAGGTTCATGTGAAAGATACGTTGAATACTATTATGATTGGAATGACAAATAGCACACCCAGCTAACGTTCTTATGATCCCCACCGCATCATTAATATCGAACGTGTAAATTTATCGACTGATTTATTAATGGCACGTTGGAATACATTGTGAGTGGAAAAACATGCCAGGTCACGAGAGCGATAGACTTAATGAATGACCTATTACAAGTGAAATAGGTCAGCTGTAGAATGGAGTGAACTATTACCTGTTGAAGGGACTGTAATGACAAATCCCACTCTGTCTCCTGTTCAAGCTGTGCGTATAGTTGCTTTAATTCTTGAACAATTTCATCCTGGAAATACATCTGAAAACACCAGAAGAAAATAATCCGTTCGTTAACAAGAGTATTAAAATAGTTCTGGTGTGGCGGGTTAGACGAAGGACGGTTGTCTCGTGCAGTTAACAATACAACTAAGACTTACCCCTTGGTTAGCTCTTCCAAAGATCTCTTCCTCCTGAAATTAAATAAACCAAACGCAGATTGATTTATGTTACTAAATTTATCTAAATCTTTTGAAGCGGTCAGAATTCATTTTGAAGTTCGAACATTAGTAGCGCGCACGTAAACCTACATTAAAAATTAACAAGAAATGTAGTTACATGGGGCAGTGGGATCCTGCAAAACCACGTAAGTACTAATATTATCTACCCGCATATCATGGACAATGCTTCTTTTTAAGATGAAAAGTTAGGATGTGAGACAAATATCAAGCTGGGGATGTAGAACCTAGCCGGTCGTGTGGTCAGCTTTAAGCGTGTGTGAATCTATGTGTGAGTAGTGCTATAGAAAATGCCAAACAAAAATGATTACCATAATGATGACGACAAAGACGATGATGATGATGATGACGAGGATGATGATAGTGACTAAATCGTTTCTCTTTTTCGAATTCTATTAGTTTCTCTCCTCACCGTGATGTAGGCATCCACAGGGGACCTTGCTCTTTCGGGGGTGCGAACACCATCAAGGATCTCATCAAGAATTCTCGCAGCAGCCTCTACTGCTTCTCTGTGAGCTAGTTCCTGCTCGATCTGCTGTCTGGCATCCTTATAAATGTCATCTTCTATCGCTACACCTAACAAAGACAGTACAAACTTCTGTTATACCGGAACCACTCCAAGCGACAAACCAAGTGGTCTTATTCAGGGTAAGAACTGTAAAGTTAACACTCTCCACAACAGAGCCGGCGTCCGTCAGAAGAGGTTAGGCGGTTTATAACGTAGGAATTTTGCCAAGTTATACTTGGCATATCTTCAAGAACGCTTCATCATTTCAGAAGCTCAATAAAGAGGGTTTTATAAGGCATCCAAATATCTCGCTGAAGGTTTAAAATACTCGACTCTGTGTAGCACCCACATTCCTGAATGTTTCTTATTTCTGCGAGGAACATAGCGTTAAAAAAAGGTCTGTATTGTAAGTCACGTTTTCCGCTGCAGAGGGTTGACCTACCCCTCCTATAATGGGCTAAACGGGAAGGCGCCTCCCTAAAAAAGTACCTTCTTCAGGTTTTAGGTACCGTGTCAAAGTGAGGGGTTTCACAGGCCTGAGTACTGGACCTCACTGATCTCACCTCTGAGAGTAATTCTTATTGGATCACCACCGCACAATGTCGGCTTAGTCATCAGTTCCCAAGTCTCTGTAAAGATCCCGGCACTTGGAGATTTGAATACAAATGGAAAGTTTAAGGTATCTCCTGGCAGAATCACGCCACTCTTACTGTCAAAGTAAAACCTTTGAGTCTGTCCAGCGAGTTTCGTACCCAGCACATTGGCTTTTGGGATTTTCTGTTGAGTGTAAACACAAAGAAATAACATGTACATGTTGACCGCGGGCGTAGGGTTAAAGAGTCAAAACAATTGTAATAGGCCCGCCCTTCCACTGTGTATTCAACTTCGTTAACAGAAATGCGTAAAAAAACGCCTTAAAATTAGTTACGATGCCAAGTTGGGAGGGGGCAGACTCGTGCAGACTCCCCACCAGAAAATGTCGCCGCTTTGCCGAGCAATATCTTCGCTCACTTTTTAACGTACCACCTTTAAACTTGCCAAGTTTATTAATGTTTATTAATGCTCTTTTCACCAGTGTCAATTGATATTCTCTAACTGGTCTGTATGAAAATTTGAGAAAAAAAAAACCGTGGAAGAGTCCATTTGATTCATCCATTTTCCAATCTTGTAGCTGTCCTATTTTGATCATAGTTGATACCTTCCAAGAAAAGTAAATGGCAGTTGTCCCATCATTGCAGATATTCAAATAAGAGGTGAACCTATCTCCTACATTCGCCTCAAATATCACTCGACATGGAACTCCAACTTGACCAGCACTAGTTCCTTTACTCCTTGGTCCGTTCCACTGAGCTGTGTGGCCACCGATGGATAATGATGGTCCAAAAATGGGCTGAGGAATTACATCAGAAATGCCTGCTAAGGGATCCCTACAGGGAATTTAACAAGAATATACCATTTACCATTAAGCGTTATTTTGTATCAGCAGAGCCTGAGAAAAGTGACATTATATCGACCAGCTGCATGATCAACATAAGCAAATAAAAAAGAACCTAAAAATATTTCATGCGAGCTTCACCAGAATTCGGACATCATACAAGAGTATTCTATGTTATCATCAGCTGTTTCATTAATGGGAGTAGCTGACCGGAGGGCTCCTCAACGCAAACTTCAGCGACTGCCTTTTCGTCCTTGAAGTTCAGCGGCTCTCTTAAGCCCTCTTTTTGACAAAACAGTAAAATACAAGTTCGATTAGATTCTTGATCGCAGATCACTCTGATTGAAAATCCAAAGGATTTTTTAACGTGAAAACAGTAATGGTGGGGACCAGCAAGAAGACCGCTTACGATATGTAGTTTGTTCAGATCCGGCAAACAAACGCTCAGGTCATAAAAAGAAAAAAACGAATTCACTTGGGATGGATTCTTGAGATTGATAATCCATTCTCCGATTTAGTAAAGAAACCAAAAATCCGTTTTTTTTGATTGGATATTTCCAGAGAGACGTACTCTAAGTTCCTACTATGGTTATTTATTCAAATAGTAGTAGAGATAAACGATGCTGACCTTTCATTCATGGACTCGTTGAACACATCAGGTTCCTCTTCTTCTTGTACAACAGACATCATGTCAAACTTGGATGAACGACGAGGTTGGTTTGTGCCAATTACCTCCAGCTCATCGATATACTAGTATGTAACAAGGTAACAAGAACAATTTATTGCCATTTGACGGACATTCATAGTTATAACAAAAGCAAACCGTAAGTAATGGGCTTAAAAAGAAAAGACTTGGGATAAATTTGCATTTTTGGCGCTCTTTTTAAACTACACATGCTTTACGAGGGCACCCTAGAAAATACAGGTAATTACGAATACTGCATGGCCGTCCCATCGACCTTTGTCCAGGACTGTGACAACTTACGAATTTCAAGCCAGTTGTTTTCTTAGAACGTCCATTCTTTTTGCTGCTTACCAATATATATATTAGCAGACCTTAAAGATACAGTACAAATGATGTGACAGGTGATTACCTTAAGCTACCTACCAGGTATTTGGTATCTGATCAAATGTCTACTACACTGGGTTGGCAAGAGGATAGAGAGCACCACCTTAGGGACGAATTTTTGATGTGCGCAAGACACACTGAGAAGAGCGAAAAAAGAAGCTCTATAGCCCTTTATCTGAAACCTTTCCAGGTGCCCTTACGTCTTCAGGCGGCTGGGTTTTTCGGGACAGTACACACTAGGTGAGCGCCTCCTTACCAACTGAATGAAAGTGTCTTAACTGCTATTAACATTTTGTAATACATGTACGTTCTTTCCATTTTGAGCATTTAACTTACCGGCTGTTGTGGATCGAGCTCACGTAAAACATTTTGCAGCTGTTTTGTTCTTTCCTGCAAATAAGATGATTTCTGCCAGGGATAATGAACAGATGCTGACCTGTGTGTACTAGACCACTCAATACCTGTAATCAAATCAAACTAATCAAACTTGTAACTATTTAAAAATCCGCCAACAAAATTTAGTGATAAAGCTTACTCTTGTTAATATCTCGATCAAGATCAATGATGTCCATAGTATGACGCGGTCTGAGTACTTGATCTCCATAAATCACAATAAACTGGGGAACGTTTGCTTAAAACTCTCCAGCGAATCAAGAACATTTTTCTTTTCTTCACTTTCTTTAAATTCAAAATAATAATAATATAGTAAAAACACGGAGGAATAAAACGTGTTAGAGTGGCAAGGTTAGCGTTTGCTAAAAGTATTTGGTATAAAGGCGCCAACTGAAGGAACTATAAAAGGGAAGAGTGTACAAACTGATCAAAAGTATTTTATTGAATCGTAACTAGTGTAAGATTTACAACGTACTTACATGGTCAACAAGCATCAGTGTAACAAGTTTTAAATGACAAGCAAAGACAAGTAAAGAAAACTGGTACATACCCATTTCATTCTTAATGTAAATAGGTTTGGCAATGTGCTCAATGGCTGGAGGATAACCACGCTCAGTCTGGGTAAGTGTCATGCTACATATAAATAAACAACAACAAAGCCACTTTTTATCAAACCCTGCTACATATGTTTGAATCAATGTAACCTTCACTTACAACCCCTACAACACAGCGTACATTATTTATTAAGAAAAAAAGTTGAAACACAGCTAACAAGAAAATGTGCTGCTGACATGCAATATCTCAGATTACATGCCTGTTGTTGTTAGCTCGGCATGAATTCAGGTGCAGATTGATGATGACTAACTATGCTGGATTCATTATGATATTCAAATAATGCTCTCATTGCAAGCCTACTTCACCAACTTTTTATAAAAATTTGAAAAGCTATTTTCCCCGCTATCCACTTCCACATGTGCTCAGTCCCACCCCTTGCAGTTCAACCTCACTTACGTGATTCCTGTCTCATCATCTCCTATCTGCTCCACCTGCTTCCAGAATTCACTACCAACACGATCTACATTATTAACATAAGAACATCTCCATTATTTAAGGGGAATTGTTTACCCTAAAGCCACTATTCAACTTTCTAGCAAAGCTCTGCATGTGCCAAAGGCTGTCGTGAACAGATCTCTCAAGGCAAAAATAAATGATAACTGAGGACACAGCAGCAGCAGGGCACCCTGCTTGTTTATAGGCTTGTACTACAACAAGTGATAAACGTTATACATGTAATAGTTGCTCAGTTGCTCAGTTGCAACTCTTGTAACAGCAGTTTGCCTAAGTTACCAGCCTGGACTATGTAGCTCAGCCCCATATTTTTCTGCTTGAGTGTCAAATATGAGATCACCAGGTGACAAAATTCGAGGATAATGGAAAGTTCTAACTGCCTATGTGAATTAGTACCAAACCTTCTATTATGAAAACAGGCACTGAAGTAGATAACATGTCGTGAAAAATTAATGCTTACATCCTTTTCCATAGTCCATTGATGGAATTGACCTGTCAATCGCATCCCTACCATAAAAACAACTCTTACAAGTTACCACTCAATAATGACTTCAGTTTTCACTACAACAACTGTAAGTATTAATGCTGTAAAGAAATGTTGGGCCTATAATATGAAGTGAAGTTTATCTCACTGCCAACCACGCACAAACTATTAAACATAAATGAAAAAAAAAATTTCAGTAAGATATCTTGTTCAAGCTATTCATACTTTAATTTGCTTAAACATGTTGTCCATTAGCTCCAAGCAAGCTCTCTTCATTTCTCTCAAGACCATCAAATCATGAACCCAATCTTCCCTGCTGTTATATTGCTATCTGCTAACATGCTAACGGAGGGCTAAGTTTCTCTAATCACACCTTCCAAATTGAAGAAAAATAAGAAACAAGAGATTCCTAAGATGTACAGAGAGTAATTTTTTTAAATTACAAAATTTCTGCAGTTATGACAGACTATCTGATCTATCTGATACCTGTTTTCTTGAATTTGTCTGTAGTCCTCACTCTGATTCATTACCAACATGTCTGTTGATGTGTTCAACATATCTACAGGAATTTTAAAAGGGATTAAAAATAAAACAAACCCCTGACACATGAGTCATGAATTAGTTTACATATTAAGAAAGAAACAGGGACAGGTAGACTGTAGGTAGTCTTTCATGTTTATTCAAATTCTCTTTTTGTTTCTTGATACATACATACAAATTTATTACATTTCCCAAAGGGGCATTACAAAGACAATATAATAAGCTATTAAGTACAGACAGAAACTTTCTGGTACAGAAAAAAGAACAAAAATTAACAGGCTAATACTAACTATTGTGATAAGAATAATAACAACAAAAAGAGAGAAAACCTACCACGGAATAAATATGAATTAGTTTTAGTGGAAATCTACAATATATATAAATGTTCAAAGCCGAGAAAATTAGGTCTCATATAGTTCTTGCAATAACTTAGATTTTAACGACTGTTTAAAAAGAGAAAAAATGCATGATCTGAGAGACATGCAAGAGATGCACACAACAAGGGTGTCAGCCTGAGAAGAAACTGCTCCCAAGGACCTGTAGTACTTTTTTATTCTCTTGCAAATTTTGCTTCATAGACTAACAAATTCAATCTTTTAAAATAATTGTAAGATCTCCTCTGTGAGGTATGCAACGAGGACTTGTCAGTTTGCAGTCAACCATCAAAGTGGTGGCTTGCAAAAAAAAAAACACTAACAGAAGCCTAATTCTTAGTAAAATATATGCAGGTTTCCTGACTTACTGGATAAGTGCTGCTGTTGCCTTTTTCTCTGCAGCATCTGTCGTTGCCAGTTTGACAGAGCATTGCTTTCATTGATCTGCATATAATAACGACAATTATGCAAGTATACTCCTGTAACTCGTTAATTCAATGTCCTGTGACATTTGTACTAATATAAGGCTTTTAAAACCATTTTGGTAGGATAACTATTAATGCGTCAAGATCTAGGGATATCCATCCTGCCACTAAAGTATATACCGGTATGTATCTTATTTTAAGGCCTTGTAAAAAACAAGCACAGGGCTCACAACTAATATACGCCTTAAGTAATTCAAAGAAAAACGGACATGCACAAGTCACACTGAAATACTGTAGAAAATGTAGGCTACTGCTGTGTAATTATAGGCATGTACAATACATGTAAATCAAATGAATGTTATATATTCTATAAAAGTTTAAAATGTAAATATCCTGATGCTGATTGAATTCAAAATTAAGTAACTTAAGTACATATTAGGTTAATCCCTTGGTCTCACCCTTGTTTGCCAAACATGACTTGAAAAGCTCTTTTCCTTTTTTGGCCCCTTGGTAGTTGGTCTAACTTTGCCAGCACCAAACTACATACAGTTAATGAAAAAAAGACAATTATTTTACTGCCTATATAATTATATATGTACAATGAATAATAATAAACAGATTGTACAAGCATATTATGTGTAATGAATTTAGACAGTCCTGAAGTGATTCACAAATCTTTTTTGAGGATGCACAAACCTTACCTTGTAACCAGAGAAGGGTGGTAGATTCTGGAAATAAAATAGGGAAATAAAAAAAATAATAATAGGTCTGTAATTCCACAGCCTGATTTAAAATAAACTTGTTGAATATGCTATGAGCAGAGAGATCACCTAGTTACCTTGGGCAGTTTTAACATGATGTTATTTTATGTTACATATGTAGCTAAAGTAACTGCATGTGTTCTAGGCATTACATCAGAGAAAGGTAGATCACAACAGTTAAACCTAATTAGGCTTTATCAAAATAAACTAATTATATATTTTTGGTAAACCAGAATTTAATTTAAGAATGCTTCAGAAAAGTCACAGCTTTCAAAATAGAATAGTGACATTTTTTTGAGAAAATGAGAAAGAAACATTCAGATGTCATTTGAGTACATAACAACATTACATTACTACATGCACAAGAAGGTTTCAGTATTTTTCTTTTCTGTGCAACATAATTCTCACCAGCACTTTTTTGCAAGGAAAAAACAAAGAGAATTCTGGTAGTTGAGGTGAAGTGATGTTATCACAAAGATGGCCTATCAAAGGAAAATAAGTGTCAGATGTATGGACTGAGTCAACTGACACCACTTTACTCGGGATTATACACAAAATACCTCTATATCCCCTCGTTTTATCGCCTCTTGTTGAAAATCTTCCCATGAGCCTAATATTGTGTGAGTCAACACTTGTCCGTCTTCATCAAACACAGGACCAGTGGAACCTACATGTACAAAGGAATCATGAACAATGGACCTACAACTGACGTCTCAAAAAATGTGCTTCCGATCAGTCAACAGCAGAAGTGAACAATTTATTATAACAATAATAACCATAGTAGACCAAATCATTTGTCCAATAGAACTCCATATCTTCTACACATCTCAAACTACCAATAACAATATGTACCACTATTGAACTATTCCCCCATCCCAGACAAACATAGAAAAGTTTCAAGAAACTCTTATATATGCTCCCTTGGTGTCTTGTTCTTTGAGAAGCGAGTGATGAAGCCCCTCACGTAGCCAAGGATTTTGGTTTGTAACGCAAGTGGAAAGAATGTGCAAAGTGATGCACTGGTTAAACACAAGTTGGCTATATACGTTGTGGTTCAATGTAATCCTTGGTTCAAATTTTATTTCTCTTCGTTTTAAACTCATTATCATACACAATACAATGCCCCAAAACAAAGGGAAATAAAATTTTACCCAAGGATAAAATTCAACCACAACATAATTATACATCTATATATAAATCAGCCTCCGATTATAATTTTTCAACTATCCACTGGATGAATCACCATATACATCCAGTGGATAACGAACCAATTGTGTTATCCACTGATGGATAGCACTATGCACCTTTTTTCAATGGCAGAGTATTTTAAATACAGAGAACACTGAAGCAAATTGTACCATTAACTTTTAATTAGAGCAAAAAATCGACATAAAAAAAATGTCAGTGATTGCGTCTCACTTCGCAGATGACTTTACTTCTGTTGGCTATGCCTATTTTCCTTTCGTAAACAGTTGTTGCCATTTTTAAAGGTAAGTACCACCATTGGTAACCAAGCCTTTAGTCATGAGATAGATGCAATATATTCCCTGGATTGAGTTACAATAAGGCAAATTACGTTTTTGAATGGTCTTAGAAAGAACGACATTGAAGCCCAAGTTGAATTTACATTCAAAGTTATGGAAAGGGTTACGGTCACCTGTTATTGATGTATCCTCACCCCTTATGGGGCTTTTCAAGGATGATGAACCAATAATTCAAATGCAACATACATTTGCACCACTATATACCAAATGTTAGGAGGTAAACCAATTGCTATTAATTTACAAGTGCGGCCAAGGATTTGAACTTGGGACTACTGAGAACAAATCCAGCGGGCACCTGGTCAGGGCAGGACTTGTACACAGTGCCTTAAGATTACAAATTTGTCCAGCGCTCTAACTGCTTGAATATACTCCTTCCAAATGAATTGTAATAACTTAAGGTATAAGCTATTATTCACTAATGAAAAGCTACAATTAAGTTCTGGTAACTAAGTTTTCTTTTTAAAATATTTCAAATCAAAATTATTTTGAACAGGTTTTTTTATGTAAATAAACAGCTTATTTCTCACCATAAAGAGGAGTGGTTACCAGAGGAGCATCAGGTGGTGCTGGCCGTGCTACAGTCAGACTATTAAAAATACAATTAAAAAAATTAACATGTTTACTACACTATCTTGTAAAAAATCACAGTCAGATACAATATATTTGCTATTTTATAACAAATTCCTTGACTTTTCATTGATCTAACACAATATAAGATAGTACCAACCATCAGCTGCCCTTAACAGCCCTTTTTATAACATTTTAATTATCTAGTTCTAAGAGGACAGATCACCTTTTTCATCAACAACCTAAAAGTTTCTTCAAGCCTTCAGTTTTTATTAAATAAGAATTTTTTCCTGACTATTTCCTGACCTGTAGCCTGAGAAAACGACCATCTCTCCTCGCTCCTCGCCACTAGGGACATTTTAGCAGGAGGGATGTCTGTGCATCAGCGACAGAAATTTTACATGTAAAGTGATGACAGAAAATCTTTCCGCAATTTGGTCAGGAGCTCTAATTAGTTGACATAGCAGTTATACAGTTTCGGTTATTGTTTTAAAGAGACAAACAAAAGACAAAAGGCCACAAAGGTCAAATGTAAAAGAGATGAACCTACTACAAAAAAGTTTATATATTCTTCTTTTAAAGGAGCATTTGAGTTTTGCTTGAGCTTGTTCACAGAAGAATACAGAACTTTACCATAATCAACCAGGAGAACCATAAAATTGAATTAATTTACCAGATAAAATTATGGTAAACATTGATTTATGTGATAAGTATGGAGTTTCTGTTGCAGAGACGGAGATGTCCCTCCTTGTGAATTGTCCCTGGCGGCGAGGAGCAAGGGAAGACAGCTGTTTTTGCAGGCTGCCTGTCCTGACTGGCAACAAACCATGATAAAGATAAATGAGGTCAACTTGTCTAAAACGTGACAAAGTTTTGTTGAGTTTTCAAGGACTCAATGTAACACGTGGGACTTAGCATAATTATAACTTAGAATTAAATTTATTTATGTCACATGGTCTAAACTGTCAGTTAATCCCTGATGAAGTTTGAGAGAAAAGCATGAAAATAATACTTGAACCCTAAAAATTTGAATACTCTGAGTAAGGACATTTTTAATGTTTTAACTTCCAAATATTCATGCACCTCTTTCCAGCTAGCTGGTTTTGATCCAGTGATGGTTTGAGCCTGGCCTTACGTACAGTAATGGTTGCCGATGGTTTGGGAACTGATGGTTTTTTAGGAGGATGCACCTGTAGAATTTTTAACATAGAATTAAGAGCATTTAATTAATTGTTATGTTTTCTGATGTGCACTTGAAGAAGGAAATAAGAGTGGTTTATCTGGAAGAGGCAACCTGTTCACAAAAGCATACAATAATTGTTATTAGATCATTCAAAATACTTTGCCATTTCTGATTGGCTCCAATCCCCTGGCTTAATATTCCTCATAACCACTCGGTACTTACCATAATAGATCATTTTGACTGTCACACAATAACCACAGCACAAAAAAATACATTGGAAACCATAAATACATCTTCTAATACTTGCAATATTAAAGTGCCAATCACCTAAAATTTTTTATTTCCTTATCTGAAACTACACCTTATTAAAATAACTTCTGCAAAAAAATTTTGCGATTTGAACCAAAGATGATTTTTTTTCGAATTTTTTAAAAACATTCAAATTTGCCGCCATTTTGGCACACCATTTGTCTTAATCTTCTCCCAGAGTATGACGTCACATGACGTACTTTAAGGAACACGTGACTTTATCGACGGGAAAACATTAAGAGTTCTGGTAGGTTTTTCTGTTTCAGAAAAACTTTCTTCTTGCGAAGACATTGTGATTCAATCCTTACTTGTAATTGACCTTTTCTGTGTACAGCTGGTGAAGGCAAGGTAATGCAAGTTCCTTAATTTACGTCACATGACATTATATGTGACCCTGCTAGTTTACGTGATCAGCGGCACAGGTGTACCTCAAAAATGTAGACTTCAAAAATTGGTAAAAAAAATCGCGTTTTGTTCAAATCGCAAAATTTTTTCACGGAAGTTATTTTAATAAGGACAGGCATAGTTTCAGTTAAGAAAATAAAAAAATTTAGATGATGGACACTTTAAGAACTTAGAAACATTGTGAATAAAACATTATTATTGAATGTGACTGAGTATGGTAAGAAGAATTATGCAGATCAACATCCTTTTTGATCTGCATACTTCTTCACAGACACGAGAGTTAGCTTCATTCATTTGTTAATTGTAACAATAATTTTTGAGTGGATATTAATATACAGCTTTAGATTAACATAAATCTAGACCTTTGAATGGAACGGCCCACGTTGAAAGACAGCAACCACAACCTTTTCTTGTGGTGGGAAGGGCATAAATAGCCACAATGACAGCAGTTAGGATATATATGTTAGCCATATAGAATTTTACACTGTTAGCAAACAAGCAGCATTTTATAATACATAAGCTGTTTGTCAGTTTTCTTTCCCAACCCACCTACTCCACAGGCAGTTATGATTTTCTGATTTACTCTTTCGATGGGCCTTAGCTATTATTAATATTAAATGTACGTTAGGGTAAATTATAATTCATCATCTGTATGATTAAGATAACTATTATTATAAAATAAGTAAGATAGTACCCACGTTCTGATTGGCTCGAAAAGCTTGTAAATCACTCGTTCTCGTGTTCTCCCAACATCCCGCATGGGTTATCACACTGGTAAACCCATAGAAAGTGTGGTCTATTGCTTAAATAAACTGCCTGAATCCAATGGTGTTGGAAGTCTGCTCTGGGGGTTTAGATTTACTGATCACGCATCTCTTTTTGTATGGGCATCATTAGTTTTAGTCTTTTTTTAATTAAGTACAACTCTGAGTCCAGAGGACTGCATGCACTTACTTTTTTCAGCTCATCTAAATTGATTGCAAGAGAATCGATGTCATCACCACTGATAACTTTTCCAACAGATGGTCCTGTACACACTTCATCCTGAATATGCACAGCTGATCCAACTGGTGAGCCCATCTTATCTGGGGTGCCACCATCTCTCTTTTTCGTCTTTGCACTCTTATCTAGAACACAGCCAGACCGTTTTTAAAATGTATTCAGCCTGCTTTAACATGTTCAACTTAAGAACTACTTCAGTATAATAATTATACATGAATTCAATATAATAAATTATACATAATAATTATGAGGGTTGCCCAAGGCCTGCAAAAAGTTATAATAATATTCTTTTAACAATAGCAGCTCTAATTGGGTTTCTTTTTCAGTAAATAAATCCTCGATAAATCTGATTTAAGTCGTAGTTTGAATTTATCACACGAAATTTTAACTTCAGAACTGAGAACTGACCGGAGTAGCAATCGCCAACGCAAGCTCTGCGGTGTAAAGATAATCTTACCAGTAGATCTTGGCCTGTCCTTCTTAGACGGCTTGCTGGAAAGCTTGTTACTCATAACGCAGGTGTCTTCCACTCAAGAAAAAACTCTTTTCAACTTAAAAATATGAAGAAATACGAAAGATATCACACCGAAAACATCCACTGGGCTTTCGTAGCAACAGCCGCCATATTGACAACAAATCATTTGTTTATTCATACTTACACGAGGGAGGGGTAGGAGCTTCCATTTTTGTCGTCTTCAAAACGAGTCATCCTTATGCCCAGGCTTTCCCGATATAAATAGCAATAATGGCAAAATAGAAAGGATCAACAGGGTTGTAAAGTCTCCCGGCGATATCATTCAATGATAATCAATAATCAATAATAATCAGTAATAATAATCAATAACAATCAATTGATTGGTATTGGAAATCAATAAAAATCAATGTCTAAAAGTTGAGTGAGTATCGATTTTTATTGATTTTCATTGATTATTATTTATTAATATTGATTTTTATTGATTATGAAATTTGTTATTTATTTTCAATAAAATGCGCCATATGAATTAACAAACCCTTCACTGAACTTTATTTGCTATGCTTTATGTTGTTACATATCGAATGTTTGAAATTTGTAGCATTTCCACACCAACATAGGTCTGGAACAAGTGAAGTCCGGAAACAATTGTTTTGTGACAATCCCGTGGGACTGATCAAAACACGGGAATGAGTGCAGTCGAGTTATCGTGGACACACAATACGCCCGTCATCAATCAATCAATGATTGATTTTCATTGATTGATATCACCGGGAAAGTCTGTAAAGTACCACAATAAAGCACAGTCAACTCCCGTTATTCCAGATAGGGTCAGATAGGCTTTGAAGGATTGGTGAACAATTTTTGCAAAAGGCACTTGGACAAACATCAGCGAGGGAGCTACTGTCCATTTACTCAGCGACGCGTCCGTAAAGCTTACCTGAGATCAGGCTCTATTTGAACATAAAATTCTGGCGGGCAAGGCGAAATGAAAATAGAATTTTAGCGGTAGCCGCTAGAGAGAATGTACGAGAACCACTAAAATTGGGCCTGATCTCAGGTTACTGTAAAGCAGAAACGATTGTGAAGGCACAGGGTCCAGAGGAGATTTGTTTGTCGTTAGAACATCAAAGCCCGTCGAAAACCTCCGAAAAATGGGTTATTTAGATCGCGTTACAGTTTCGTTACACATTCTATAGACCGCAAACCAAGAGACTGAGGGCTCGCAAGATCGGCTTACAGTATAAAATACGGAAAGGGAGCAAACAAATTTGGGGCCGATTTTCGAATCCCTGAAACTCAAATGGAATTGAATGAAATCGCCTGATTTTACTAACCTGATCTAGAATTCTTATGTATTTGCCAAATACTGTAGGAAAACGGCATAAGAAAGCGTTCAAATTCATTTTCGGCGACCGAAATTTACGGCTTCTAGAGAGCGCTTTCGTTCGGTGTGCACCGCAACACATGGTGACGGAAATGACGTAGTAAAGTAAATGTGTTCAAGATCGGAGCAATAAAAGCGAAGCCTACACGACTTTTGCCTCATGCCAAAATGCTGCTCGTTCCAATAAAGTTTTTTTCCTCTGCTGGGTAGATTATGCTCTGGAAGGTTCTACAGCAAATGTGATTTTAGCGGGGATTTTAGCCGCATGTTTCACACTGACAGGTTATGACACATATCGATTTACTGTGGTTATTGTTTCTGGTCGGCAGGATTTGCCCGCTGATGCAAGCGCATTTTCTTTGACCTCTTTTGAAGCGTAGAGCTTTTTATTACGGCTGAACAAGGGTTCCACTTTTCTCCAAAGTGCCTTCTGGATGTGAATGACTAAACGATTTTCTTTAGTCCGTGAATGTAATGTTTTTCTTCAATGCTGTATCACGCTGGGACCAGCTTGTCAGTTTTGTTTGGGGAATGTTAAATTATTACGGATAGTGATTTACGGGTCGTGTGTACTCTTGCAATAAAAAGCGACACCGAGTAGAGCGGGCGTACAAGGCAACTGTCATATCATCACGACTGTGCCATTCTTCGGTGGTCCAACTATATTACCTCTTGCGTCTTTGGCTGTGCGTTTTGCGACTACTGGGAAGCCTTCGCACAAACAAAACCTGCTTAAGACATCGAAGACTGTTGAAACCTACAATGTCCAGTCTTGAAAGATCTTCACGTCAATTAAAACTCTGTTGCCTTCGCATAGATCTCTGAGATCTTAAAAACTCTCTCCGTTCCCTGCTAGCAGAGGTCTCTCACGACGAGCCTCGTCGTGAGAGACCTCTGCTAGCAGGGAACTCTCTCCGCAGCTGATGTTTTGATTCTCGAATTAGCATCAGTCTGTTGCTTTTGCGTTTCCGGTCTCATTCACTTCCGTCACCGAGTGATGCGGTTCACAGCGAACGAAGACACGTGATACAAGTTTCCTCCCTTGTCCTTTCTTTTACTCGGCACTTCGTGCCTTGGTCGCCCTTCGGGCGACGGCCTTCGGTCACCCTTCGGGCGACTTGCCGTGCGCCGGCGAGGATATGGCTTGCGGTCATCGATTTTCAAAAGTCGATCATCGTTTACAGTAGATTTATAAAGATGCCATTGGGCTAATTAACCGTGCTAAGCGACACTGGTATAGACATTTTTCAAGGTGAGACTTTAAATAAGTAATTCATTCATTCACACGAAACTTCTCTGGACCCTGTGGTGAAGGCAAAACAACTGTACAATCAGTAAAATGTTTAGGCTCGATTTCCACCGCTTTCTCAGGTCTGCCCCAGCCGAAGAGCTGCTGGTAACTATTGAACTTACAAAATCCTTAATACCAAATATTAAGATTAAAACAGTAAACAACAACAACAACAACTTTATTTATTTATTTCAACATCTTGGTTACAAAAATAAAATAAAACACTGAATCCGCAAGGAGCAAAGGCTATTTTTAAACTGATCCTTACAGCAGTAAAAGTGATAGAAAAAATAGAGAAAGACGGAAAACAAAAATAAAATGGTGAATTATATTTCGGTTTGCAACACTGGAGGCTGAGAGAGAAAGAACCACCGCAAAGCAGTGTTGGCTGAAGCTAATATTTTGTAACTTTTGGTTTTTAACAAGCACTTATCGAAGGAAGTGTCAGCCATCAAATCATTATAAGGTTTCAAAGCAGTTTGAAAACTATAGACGGCCCATTGATTTTTCTAAAATCCTTCAAGAGTCCTTAATGTTGAATATTCAGGGTTTCTATTTTTATAGCGTGATTAGACTATAGAACAATGGGCATACTAATAAGGCATTATAAAGTGTGTTATTAATAATTTTTAATTAAAATAATTTAATACTTGTAGTCAAAATAAACAAAAAAAGATACTATAGACAAAACAAGGCAGGAACTAAAAGCACTTACCATGAAGAGCCTATCTAATAACAAGCTTTGAGAAATTTCGATAGGTTACAGTACTCACAAAAATTGCGGACGCCAACAGAGAAGAAATGGTTATATTGGGTATAGAAACAATAATTAATAACCAACGAAAACTTTCGCATGTAAATATCCCCTAAAAGAATAGTGCAAATTTATTCATAGTAGGCCTGAGAGTAGTAATAGGGGCTACTTTAGGTACTAGCCAATCAGAGCGCAGCAAAGTTTCTCTCGACCAATCAGCATCGCGCATTTCACCCATGTGACTTATTGACGTCACAACCCATTGTTTTAACCCACGTGACCCCATAGGAATAAAGAACACACGCACACAAGAATTGAATCCACATTCTTGGCATAGTTTTAATGAACCGCGTGAAGCCCTGGGTACAAGCGGGACGTATGTGACGCCCTAGTGACGTCACGCCCATTTTTTTTTTTACATTAATGCACGAAATCAAAAAAAGGTGTTTGCTTCATGGCAGAAGAAGTCATATGACTGGGATGAGGCCATTTGATGTAGTGGTTGAAACCTGTGTATGACCATGGTTTGAGGAAAGGGAATTTGATCGTGGCCAAAGTGACTGAAACGAATTGAATAGAGGAATGGTTAGATCCAAGAAGCAAACTGGATGAGAAACAGCCGACCATTGGCACGCACGAGGCGATGGTTTAGGGTCCAATGATTGACTGGAAAATAAAAAACAGACCTCGATTACAAGTGGGACGTGTGTGACACCCTGGTGGTGTCACGCCCTTGAAATGTTTGTTTACAATAATATTCTATTAAAATCCAGTCTTGATTATAATCAAAATGGTCTAGGATCCAGTGACAGGCTAATAAAAAATCAATATCTTAGTTTGAGTATCCAGGAACCAATGACATACTGATGAAACAAAAAATCAATGTCTGAGTTTGAACAAATGGAGAAAACTAGACCATCCTTGATGATTGACAATGCAAAGTTTATGAGGGATAGGCCAGCTTCGAAAAATCATAAGATCTTGAATGAGCCAATGAGAATCTAATGAAGAACGATAGAAAATTGATGAGGGATGGGCCATCCTCGAAAAATCATAGCAAAGTCAATGATCCAATGGGATTCTAATGAAAAAAATAATAATTTGAACGAATGGAGTACGTTGGTCCTTCTTTGAGGATAGACGAAACAAAGTCTATACGGATTTTAAGGATCTCATCATCTAGCATCCGATGAGAATCTAAATGAAAAAAAAAAAATGAGAATGAACATCCAGCAGGAGTGGCGCCACCATGCAGACCTCCCCCTGCCGGGTGTTCAGAAATCCCATTCCGCGCTGTCTAAGATATGGCATCCCCAACAGGGTTCATGGAGGGTGTTCACGTGCCGTGAATACGTCCAACAGCGTTTGCACACAAAATATAATTGTCTCATAGGATAATTGAAGGTGGACCTTCTGTGATTCTCTATTATCTGGGCAGTGGCTGAAAAAGGCAAGGGATATAAATGGCACGTATGACAAAACGAGTGTCTGAAACGAAAAAACAACGGATGGGTGTTAATCACGGGGTGGATAGCCCATCCCTTGCATCAACTCACACCAATAACAGGGCACATCTAAATCGCGCACACGACGAAAATTTAAAAAACAACGACAACAGAGTAATTTGAGGGGTCTTGGATAAGGTGGAAGGAAGACCCCTTTTCCAGTGTACCATTGCGTGACACTGCTACAAAAACACCAGGCCGCGGAAGTACCATGAACCCTGTGGGTGCCGAGAA